CGTAGGCAGCGTAAGAAAAGCGGATATAGAAGCGAGGAGTACTTACAAAGGGAGCTGGAGAGGATCTACTCGCTCAGCGCGAGGCTGATTAGCAGATTGCTCATGAAGAGCGTCAGAGAGGAGAGCGATCAGGTGTTAGCCGCCAGGCTTTGGCGCGCTGTAGTAGGTGCAGAGAGACTGGCCATAACTCGCGTACGTGCAAGAAAGATACTCTAGGTACTGCTTAATCTATTATGTTAATATGTAGTAAAACAACTATATTGTGGTGGAACTACAGGCTTATAGAGGTGCGCAGATTTGGTGGGGTGCGGCGCTCGCTTGCCTGCGGCGCTCGCTTGCCACATACGTTAGTTCAAGTAGTTATGTAAGAGAATACTAGAATATTCAGAGACTATAGAAATAGGGACTCCAGAAATCGTACAGAAACTCAGCGCCGGATAGTGCATAATTAATATGATATCTAGTTATTCTAGGGCGATTCAAAGTCTTAGCGGGCGATACTACATAACCCTTTTCTCCTTCATTATCTTGAACAGATTGACTAATAGCTTCCTATTTGCAGTGCAACATGCACGTGTTGTCATGCATACTTAATCTTGCAACTACTAAAATGTTTCACTAACTATCAAGCATATAAATAAGCCTTCTTTCATCAGTTGAAAGTGTTAGACTTTTCAAACTGTAAGGAATACTAAGCGATGTATACATGATTACTCATTGATACGCGTCTTATCTACCAGACCACTCAATTCACAGCTTCATATAGTGACTTGATTAGAATACAATCAAGACTTAATTGGTATTTGCACAAGCTTCAAATTCAAATAGACATGGAACCAGCAAAATACTAATAGGAAAAATCTTCCGAGACGACATTCTGACCTGTAAGCCAGCTTAGAACCTCCCTGCTCAAGCCCTTTCCTGCGCATAGATACCAAGTCTCCGCCTCTATCTTATCCAAATCACTTTTGGTTAACCGTCTGCGCGAAACGCTTGCTCCTGCACTCTCCATTTCCTCCAAGCTATTTGTACCATCTTGTGCTCCCGTAAGATACACATTGGTACATACAGCCAGCTCATGATGACGTTCAAACGTGTCCTCCATAAAACCCTTATCCTCAACACGCAGCGCCCAAAACAGTCTGAACCGATCAGGGGCAAGCTTTAGACGAGGTAGCAGAGCAAGAAGAGGCGTTATACCCACACCGCCAGCCACAAAGGGCGCAATGACTTGCTCTTTCTCTTGTCGAACAGCGAATTCTCCGCCTATTCCCAGAATTGGGACCTCGAGGCCGGCACGCTCATTTTGGTTGAAGAGGAAGCTTGTGACTGGTCCCACCTTTCTGATTGTAATATCAAATTCTTGTTCTCTGTCCGTGTTTGATGAGGAAGAGGGCATGGAAGAAATCGTAAACGTCCTCACAAAATCATCATTCAAACTCGAGGGGTCCTCGTCTCGCATATGCTCATACCCAACATCGAGTTCTGCTTTGAAGTCGAGGGCTACCCACTGCCCAGCATTATAGTTGACACCAGGACCTGACACCGAAAACGTGAAGCGCGCTATTGTCGGTGAGAGCAGCGTCTTCTGCATTAGCCTCGCAAAGATTTGGCTACTTGGCCACGTGGTAGAGTTGAAAATTCCAGCCCGCACATTCCCTTCAGACGCCAAAGGCCAGACACGAGGGTTGTAAGGACTCTGTTCCTTCTTCTCTCCACGGAATGCCAGACCTCCCCTGACAAATCTGGATTGTTGGATGCTAATCTTCACAGCCAGATTACTTCCCGGTAGTAGCTCTGCTGCCTTCTTCCCAGCAAGTATTTCCGCCGTGCCCGTTACGTACAGTACTTCTCCTGTGGCGTAATCAGGAAATGCCAGTCCAATTTTCGGGTTTAACTGCAAATTTCCCAGGGACTGATACAGGCGGTTGCCCGAGTACTCGGGATATGCGATTTCGCTGGCGGAAATGATGCGGACGAATCCTAAGGGGCCACCGCGGTGGTTCACATCCATGTCGTCTTCTGTGCTGGTGGAGAGGAAAAACATGTCAGATTTTGCGATGAGATCTTGTCCCTCAACAGATAGCGATGGACCGTCTGCGACGAGCTGTGGCGCGACGAGCGCAGGCCGAATGACATATTGATTGAGGTATTTGGGACAGTTTCCCAAGCTTTGCTCGATTTTAGTTACGATTTGAAGTTGGTCTTGTGTCTGGACCAATTCGTTTTCTCCCTGGCCTTGTACTTCTTGCAGCATTGCCGCTACTAGACGTCCAGCTGTTTTTACTCTCTTGCGCGTCATAAGGTCTATTGCTAGCCCCGCGATGAGCTTTCCGTCCGCTCCATGTGTGAGAGGTGCTACAGCGCTCTTCTCCGCATCGCCAACCAATGCCCGCACAACGGGATCGTACTTGCTGTCTACGAGCGTCCGCGTGCCTACCATGCCTTGGCCTAATGGCTCGGAGAAGCCAGAGGACCCACCCCAAAGCGTAACCCAAGGCCGACTTTGAGTATCCAGTGTGCCGAATGCCTGGAGGGGAGCTCGCTGAAACATGAACGAAGCTTGTGGCGTGAGCATGGCGGAAGTCGGGTTATCTTGTGGCGGGACACGCAGGAGACGGTGCATTTTTGCTTCGCCGTCGTGCCATGGCATGCCTATTGAGAACGACATGCTCTCGCTGTGTGATATTGGTGTCCAATTGTCGGTTTGATATGGTGTTTTGGTGTTACAAACTTCTCTGGTGTATCAGAACTTGTGCAGTGTCCATGGCACGATGATGATAGATGATAAAAGAGATGGACATTGTTGAGTGGGAATCCAGATATCCAGACGGGCTTCAATCTAACATGTGCTGCTTACTCAACTGTGCTTACTGTACATGCAGAGCCTGATAGGCGAACGTGCCGACAGTGTGAGGAGTCGTCGGCAGGACGTGATGATGACCAAGCCCGATGCCGCCATCGGCAGTGGCTAGCCGCTCCAAGAATGCGGGGGTAGTGCGAATCTGACGGGGACTATTGCTATCACTATAAAGCAGGAGCTGACAAAGGCTGCACTAGGTGCCAAGAGTGGGCTAGCTTCATGAATGTGGAGTCAATCACGTAGTACGCTGCATGCGGGGCATCGTTTGGTACAGCTTCCAAGCTTGTCAAGGTACTATTAGCTATTACTTGTACTCACGTATGATTATTTCCGCCCCCCGCTCAGCAATGCCGTAAACAAGAGTTTGAATATGCGCGCTCGGCAGCAAGGGAATAACGCTCGCATCAACCACCCTCAAGCCCTTTGTGCCGTAGACGTTCAGCTCCGAGTCGACAACACCACCATCCTTCTCTGGAAGTAGTGCAGCAGTCCCTACAGGGTGATAGATACTGAACGTATTTGCTCGTGCAAAATTCGCCCAGTCCTCATCGGTCTGTACTGAACTGCCGGGTTCGTACTCCTCAGTCCAGATATCCCTCATTGGTGCAGACGAAGCGATCTTGCGCATGTACTTGGCGAGGCTCGTGATGGCCTCAACGTCGTAAGGGTGCGAAAGATAATTCGGGTTGATGAGCGGTTTGTCAGTAATGTTGCGCGAGGTGATGTGAACGTAGCCTTTGCTGAGGGGATGCTGCACAGCGCCAATCAGCGAAAAGGTGTTGATGCCAAATTGAGAAGAGTTGACTGCAGGATAGCCCTTATATCCAGTGTAGCCGTCGGAAAAGATGACCTCGAGTTGAGGAATCCTGTCACTGAGAACTGGAGACGAGTAACTTTTCTTTAGTTTGTCGGTCGTAGAAGTCAAACTTTTGTCGCTTTCGACAAGAGAACGCAGTCTTGAGGCAGTCTTATTGGATATCAGACTCCAGGAAAAGTATGCATAGCCGCTTCCCGTGTAGTCATAAAGGGAGCGTTGCCCAGCATTATACAAGGCCAACTCCGCAGCTGCACGTGTAGCGTTCTTGAGGACGTCAAACGAAGTGTATTCAGGCTTCAATTGAAAAGATATTTGGGTACGAATGTGATCCTGGAGATTTTCGCCGACAGAAGGTAGGTGCTTGATGACTTGAATTCCGATCTTGCTTAGGAGAGCCGAATCTCCAATTCCAAAGAGCTCGAGGACTCCGGGCGTCAGAAACGATCCAGCGGACAAGATTACTTCTTTTCGCGCATGAATAACGGTGCCATCTTCCAAAGTAACGCCGGTAGCAGTTGTACCCTTGAAATTGACTTTTGCTACGCGAGTGTCTAGCTTCAGCTGCAGATTGTGTCCTGCTAGTTTCAGATAGTCTGGAGCATACGAGCGAGTATAGTTGGGTCGGATGTTGCTTGGTTGGGTTGATACGCCTACGGGCTGGCCATTGAGCGACTCATGATTGTGAGGTAGTCCCAGATTGTTCATGGTGGGGATCCAAGTTGCTTGATGACGTGGGATGATTCTGTTAATGAGAGTTCGTATAGGGCCCGTCTTGCCAACACCGTCGATGCCATATTCAGGCGATGGCAAGAATGTCTCAACCTTGAGCATGGCTGCGTATAAGCTTTTCCAGTTCCATCCAACATTGCCGAGTTGTTCCCAGGCATCCAACTCGTGTTCAGAAGTGCGGTCCCATGTCATGAGGTTCAGTGCCGAACTACCACCAAGCACTTTGCCACGGTTTTGCGAAAAAACGCGATTGTTAGCGTTAGGCTGTGGAATCGTGGTCAAGTTCCAGTCATATTTTCCGCCTAGTGTGGAGCCTTTTCTTCCTGGAATGAAGATTGCTGGGTCTTGACGACCGTCAGGCCCAGCCTCTACAACGAGTACGCTAAGGTCTGGGAGTCCGATGCTGATACGCGATGCGACTGCGAGACCGGCAGTACCGCCTCCTACAACAATCTAACTTGTGTATTAGAATGACGAGATGAGTAGAGTAGTCCAACTGCGACTCACAAAGTCGTAGGAGCTTGAATCACCAGATTGGCTCTCTTCCCACTTCACGGTGGCTGCACCGCCGTGCCGCACCAGTCCGTGGATAGCCAGTGCTAACGCTAGAAACTTCATGTTGTTGTGGTGTTGGAAAGAACAGCTCTTGGGAGCAATTTGCTCGCCACTGCGAGTGCTGGAGCGGAGGGTATTATAACCGTCATTCTCAGGCGTCCAGTTCTGCTCGACTTGTATAGATTGGACAATGTATCCGCGCTATTGAATGAAATCGGGGAGGTGCATGCAGCAAAAGGGACGAATGAGCCTAGATTCGCTGGAGGCATTTATCCGATGCATGGACGGCGCCACGCCGACAGGGGACCGACCTTGAAGAAACACGCATTTCGTGAACATAGTCGCAGAAGACTGGTCGTGCGAGCCAGGAACATGGAAAGATGCGCCACACGCGAGCTGGCCGATCTGGGTGTCCGTCTGGGGTCGTGGACACCTAGTCGATGCATTTCACGGCGGCCGCTGCGTCAACCATGACCTTTCTAGGCAGATGTGGGACTGCAGCTTGGCACCATGGTAATGGGCCAAGTGTTGACTCGAATATCCAGGGGACAGGTGATTGTCCAGGCCGGTAGGGTTCATTTCTCCGAAGGACCCGAAGTACACAGCGCCGGTTCGTGTGCGAGCGGCAAGTTGGATGCATTGACGTGACGAGACACGACATGGGTCAGGCCCGATTGCGGATCGAGGATGGCATCTTGTATGGACAGTCCAGCTCGTACAAGTGGAGCAATGGTGTATCTGTATGGGGGTGTTGGTGACTGCGGAGCGATGAAATGGAGGATCGAGGGGTAGCCGCCATGGTGCTGCCACTGCCGTGGGGAGGTGGGGAGGTAGGTATGTAGGTAGGTAGGTAGGTAGGTAGGCAGGGCTGGGCGCGAAGGGCGCCCAGCAACCGCGTGCGCTAGTACACATTTATGGTCGGGTATCCTTCTGCATTGCAATGAGCAGGCATGGCACCAGAAACACTTCCCCATGGGCTGCATGCTATCTTTAACGTGTCTAGAAACTGTCCTTGTGCGATTTTGCGTGACGTCGGTAGGTACGGCACGCTTCGGTATCAGGGCCCGCAACACGAGGGCAGCCCAAGCAGCTGAACCCCTAAGTATTCCCGAGCCTCTCGACTCCCTCACCCTTGCTCCCCTCCTTCAGCACATGGCCCATCCGGATATGTCTTGACCATCCACGACCATCCCGCATCTGCCGCATCAGTCTCGTCCTAGTCACTCTTTTGGTTCCGTTTGTTGCAGCCGTTGTCTTGTCTTGTCCATCCCCTATTCCATCCGCGTGCTCGAGCAGCGCCAACCCCCCCACCATGGCTCTGCAGAAGAAACGCGTAAAACCTACACAGTATCCATTTTTGCCTTTCCATCTCGTGCGAAGTACACAGCTGCTCTCGTCGCTTGTCGTAGCAGGCATCATCTCCTACTTTCTCCACGAACTTGCGCGTGATGGGTACAGGCTGCCGTGGACGTTCATTTTGGTACGCGAGACCTGCATTGTTGCCACCATGCATCCAAGCGACAAGAGGAACGCTAATGTCCGAACAGCTTTTGGTGGCGTCCCTGCTGACCATTGTGGCCCTCGTGGCTACCATGCTCCTGCATGTATACCACGGTCTTAACCCTTCTGTGAATATCGTCGTAAACGCCTCGCTCGCCGTCGTCTGGACCGTGTCGTTTGCCATGCTCGCAAGGTGGTGTTCAGGCACACTATCGCACGTCTGCGACACGTCCGGCTGGGGCTCGGACACGGGCGTGAGCATCTGTAGGCAGTACAAGGCGCTATTCAGCTTTGCCTTGTTGGGCTTGCTTGTGACGCTGCTGGCCTTGGGGGTAGATGCCAAGGTGCTCAAGGGCTCGACAAGGAGGGGCCTTTTCCAGCCCGTGGATGGACGGGCAGCTGAGGACAAATTTGCCTGCAATGGCCTACAAGAGCTCGACATCAATCCCAATCCCGTTGCCGTGCGGGCAAGCCAGGCGAGAGGTGGGCAGGGCTACGCGGTGCCCGATGAGCAATTCGGATATGACGATTTGGCATATCACGGGGCAGCAGGTCACATTGGTCCGCCGAGCATGGAGCCAAGGTAGGGACATGGGCGAGGATTTCAGTGTTATTATTGTTAGTTGCATTCAAAACACCCCTATCGCAATCCTGATGTACATAGTCTCACATGCCTATGCGCCAATTCTCGCAAACGCCGCCCAATGTTGGCATGGTGCCGGGTATCATAATACAAGTAGGCTAGAAGAGGTCGTCCATGTTTGCATCCTGCCCGCTCATGGCAGCCGTCGCCGCATGGTCGGTGCCAACCTCGGCGTCCATGGACATGGCCGTGGACGGCGCGTCTCTTGCGGCTATCTCATCTTCGATAAAGACTCCAAAGCCCCCAAAGGCTTCGCGCAACGCCCGATTGCAGTAGTCGTGCAAGCTGTGCCCCCCAACCAAATGTGCGGCATCCTTCTTCATGCGCGCATACCAGTCAACGTCGTAATTGTCTTGCAGCACGTAATACTGAGGTGCAATGTCGTATCCTCCCCATGGGTCGAAGGGTGGCTCCTTGGGTGGTGGCACATACTTCTTGAGTCCACGAAACATGACTTCGGGCCCGCCGTCGTCCTGGCCAGCGCCTTTGTTGGGGCCCGCCGTCTTCGCAGCATCGCGCTTGGTAGCGGCCATGTTCGCATCGGCTTTTTGGAGGGCTTCGAATCGATGCAGCTTGTTCCACGTTGCTTCCACGTCCATGTTAAGGATGAGATTCCAAGTCATTTCCTCCACCTGTTCAAGGTAATCATTGTAGTCTCGCAGCGTCTCGAAATCGTCCTCCGTCTTGTTCATACTGTACGCTTGTCAGCCCAGCCACAGTGACTGCGCCATCACACTTACATCTTCATGACCTTCTTGCGCAAGTCAACCTCCCGCTCTACCTTCAGATCTTCAAACGTTGCCCTTCGAAAGTTCCTGTAGGCCAGTGTTTTGGCGCATCCCGCCACCGGGCAGATGTTGTTGCCTTTGTTGCCTCCAAACAGCCGCTCGACACAGGTATCGCACATGGAATGATAGCATGTGGGATTGATTTTGAACTGCATGTTGGGGTCGAGGTACCCCGACGCTTTGCAGACGGGGCATACGCCTGCGACACCGTCAGCGAGGGCATCGCGTAGCGATTGCAGCAGAGACAAATTATATAGCGACCGAGAAAGAGTAAACGCACCGCTATCTTGCTTTGACGCGCCTGTAGCGCGCCCGGATCTCGACATGACGGGGGTGAGGCGAAAGCGAGTGGGAGCTTGACGGGCCACCAACTTGACTCGGCCTGATGACTCAGCGGCAGGATTTCGCTTGTTGCTCTACTGAGTTCAGAACATGGCTTCGTATTCCAACAGATATGGATAAGATGGCGTGAGGGCGAGCTATTCCAATCACCATGAAGTTGGTTGCGACATTCCGGCAAGGCGACGATCTGGATGCGTCGACGCGCGCGCCCGAGGTTCCCACGCTGCGGGGCGCGCTAAGTGCCAAGACTGGCCTTTTTTCACCACTAAATTCCTGCCACCATTCTCCCTCCTTCTTCCTCCACATCCTTCACTCCAGGACAACATCGACAAAATGGCAGCCTCGACACAAAATGCCCTAGAAGATATTGAGCGCCGCCGCGTGCAGCTACAGCAGACTGTAGACCAACTCCGCAAGTCGTTGTCGCACTGGACAACTTGGGAGGCTGAGTATGAGGCGCTCAAAGAAGAAATCCAAGCTGCCGGCGACCCCTCGCCCTCGCAGATACGTGACATGGCACGCGGCCTCGAGCTCGAGCTGCTGGATGAGAAGCAGGTCGAGGAGCTCCTCTGCAAGAAGTCGCCAACAGAACGCACTGCTAACCAAGTTGTTGACATGATCTCTAGACGCCTTGACTATGTCCGGACGAGTAGTGCTACGATCGAAAAGAACCTCGATTCTGCCGAGAAGAGGCTTGCTGGTGTCGATGTCTTGTTGGAGCCCGGCATGGACAACGAAGACGGGGAGCCGATGATGGATATCGAAGAAGAACTAGACGAGCAAGGCAATGAAATATCGAGCTCGGTCAATCAGACTGGAAAGGCTGCAGCCGAGCTAGTCGAAGTTCTACGCAAGGCTGGAATTCAAAAGGCCGAGTTGGAGAAGAAGAGCGCAGCGCAAGCGAAGGAGCAGTCACCAGAGGCTCCGCCCACCTCTCCACCAGCTTCGGGTGCTACAGAGGACCCCACATCCACATCATCCTCAGAATCAGCGTCTGCTCCACCCGACGACCGCGCTAGCACAGCACAGTCACCTGCAAAAAAAGCCGTGTCCTTCGCCGAGACGGTCGACGTGCAGTCAGATCCAGGACTGACCTCTACGTCTAGTGGAAACAAGGGTCTTGCATCTGTTCAGTTTCCAGAGGGCGTCAGGGCAGTCGAGCTCGATGACGATGACGACATGTTGTCGTTGCCCGTCATTCCCGAAGACGAATCACCGGAGGATGCAGAGCTGAGAAGACAAATGCTGCGGTACGGCATGTCTGAAGTTGGGCAAGTTGTTGCGGAGCTCAATCTTGACAAGCCTACTGCATCATTCTCTGATGATGATGATGATGACGAGGACGATGACTACGATTATGACTATGACACCGAGGACGAGGAAGAGGAAGACGAATATGGCCGAAGCACACGTCCTGTCATCACTGAGGAATACCGCAAGCAGATGATGGAACTGGAGAAGAAGCTGAACGCCCGCATGATGGAAAATGTCGGACCACGGCCGGCTGATGGCCCTCTAGATGAACATATTGGCGACATTCGCACAATGCGTGTACAGAAGGACGATCAGTTCGAGCAGGCCCTGGGTTCGTCAAAGGCGACTACGCAGTCAGCAGACGAGGACAGCGAAAAGCCAAAGAAGAAGGGAGTGCGGTTTGCCAACGATATTGATATCTCTGAAGCCCCGAAGCCAATCGCAGAGCCAAAGGACACGGCACAGCCGGCAGCTAAAGCAGCCCCGACAATGTCGGACACGATTGTGGAGAGATCGGCTCCTGTTGCTCCATCTCCAGTAGAGCCGCCCAAGCGGGGCAAGACGTCGAGATTCAAGAGTGCCCGCGCTGCTGCGAGCGCACCGCAGGTGCTGCCAACGCCTCATGTGCCCGAAGCACCCCCTGTGCCAACAGGTCCTGCAGGCCGAACACTAGCGGCTACCGTCACAGAGCATGTGCCGTCGCCGTCTGAGCCGCAAGCGCCTGATGAGTTTGATGCCGTCATGTTGAAACGCGAGATCCAAGCAGAATACCACAAGGCGCGGAATCGATTCATTCAGCGGCAGGGCGGATTCAAGGCGACGGAAGAGGATGAAGAGGAGGTGATAATGGAAGAGCGCGACGGCAAGGCGAAGAAGGTAAGTAGGTTCATGGCGGCCAGGCTCAAGGCCGAGGGTGTGTAGCCCAGCACGCGGCTTTGGCGACGCGACCAACGGAACAATTCATGTCCGTGAGAGATACTTCACCATGTGTCCAGACTCACATTACATTGCTTCCAAGATCAAACCCGATGGGGCCACTAGACGCGCTTGGCCACTTGTGCCTGTGCGCGGTTCATTTACTCCCACACATAGATAGTTGTTGTAGTCCAAGTCGCCCTTGTCGGCGCTGCTGAAATGCCATGCCACTGTCGAAGAATGCAAGCTGCCCGGACGTGGTGATGCTGCCTATTGTGCCCCGGGTCTCTCTTTGCGTAATTTGTGTCGGTGTCAGGGCGAGTCGCGAACAAGGCGGGGCAGCCATGGTGGTGATGGTGGTGATGGTGGTAATGGTGGGGTCGTCGTTTGCGCCCGTCATCCTAATTTTTCCACGCCTCCAACTGTTCCCTACTTATGACTTCGGACTCGAGCTTCTCCACGCACTCCGATTCGCTGCCTCGTGCCCTTGATCTTCCGTCGCCGTTTGCAGACGCATCCAAAAACCCTGCCCACCTTGCCTTCGCGCCCATAGCGCTGGCGCAATACCACAACATTGCGCAAGAGCTGGCCTCCAACAACCTCTATCGCATCTTGCGCGCACCAGGCCCCATTCGTGTCTGGGTCTACCGCTCGCTGCTCGCCCAACATCGGCTGTGGAATGACTGGGACCGCCGCGCCACTGCCACTGCCACGCATTCGAGAGACAAGATGGGCGAGTCTGAGCGACCCTACAGTTCAAACGGCAGAGTGGCGAGGCCATACCTCACGCGCCTCCGCCTCGCACTCGCACCGTATACGGTCCACTTCCACAACCCAGGATACATCAGAGACGACACCCTGCGCATGCTGGAGCGGGACGTTGTGAAGAAGACATTGGAGGAGTCGCGCAAGAGCCTGGAGCTGCGCGAAGAACTCGGCCTTTCGTGCGAGTTCTGGGACGAGCTTGCAGGCGTGCTCAAGGCCGCCATCCCCTCGCTCGAGCGGCGTTGCTTTGCCGCGCCAGACCCGGCGGCACCAGAATACGAGGGCTTGTCGGGCCCGCTCATAGCCAGCTACTCGCCGAGCCTGTTGCGGGACCTGGAGCGGTTGAATCAGCTCGTGTGTATTGCGCGCAATGTGCTGGTGCACGGAGAGCGGGTGCAAAATCTGAGTGCAGATAGGCTGTTCGACAAGGACATCTTCGCCCTCATCAGCGTGTGCGTTCGTGTCACGGCGAGGGGCTATGACGGCGAAGCGGGAACACAAGACGAGGACAAATGGCAGGGTGTCATCAATGCCTATAAGAAGCTCCTCATTACCTGCCTGCAATTCCTCAATAACCTGATTGCCAAGAATGAACAGCGCAAGCTCATGCTCTGGATTGAGCTGTTCGACAGCCACCTAGACAACGAGCTGCCCAACTTCGCCGACATGAAATACAAAATGGACGAGTTTCCACAGCAGGACCAGGGTCCGCCCCCGGAAGAGCAGCCTCACAGTCATGCAGCGCGAAGCCTGGATACCTTCAAGATACCCCAGCAGCCGGCCTCGTCTCCCTTCCTGCTTTATATTGGCGAGACGGGAAACGACGCCAAGAAGGCGCTCATACAACACGGTGTCAAGGCGGGTGCAAATGAAATCGCCGCCGAGTGCAGAAGGCGGTGGCAGACCATGAGTGAAGAAGAGAAAAACGTAAGTCACGACGGATATCCCGGTCTATTCGTCCTACTAACACGCACAGAAATGGAACATGCTGTATGCAGACGTTGTCGCTCGGTACCGGGACCAAATCACGCAGTCCAGCACCTACCGCAAAGTCGTTGACCAGCATGCCAAGAATGAGGAGAGCGTGCAAGCACTCGCCAAAAGTATCAACCAACTCCAAGTTGAGGTCGACCGAATGCGCTCATCCATCACCGTGCTACCGGGGGACGAGTCCGGGCCACACCGACAATCATCGCCCTCTGAAGGGGAGACACAGTCCCCAAGACCAGCAACGGATGACTCGTTACTAGATCCCAGCATCAAACGGTCTCCCCCGGCAGGTGAGATCGATTTCCGTGTGACATACCCGCCATCCTTCGGAGCAGAGATTCTCCAAAATGGAAAAGAAGATTTGCTCAAGCGTCTGGAGCCAGACCCCGACCGACCATCAGGGCTAATCAGTGACGTAGCCTCTCCAACATCTCCTCCACCCGAGGAAGACGATGACAATGATGACGACTACGACGACATCCCCGGGGATGAGGGCCGAGGCTTGCTCACAGATGTTCCGCTTATTCTGGGTCCTACTGAAATCGAGGTTCTGCCCATGATCATCATGGCTGGCATTGTCGAGCCGCACGAGGGACAACCTGGCTATCATGCCGACCCGACTATATTTAGCAGTGTGAGGAGCATGCATGGTGTGCGGTGTCACCTGCTCCTGGCACAAGATAATGGACGAAATCTGCTTCGTGAATTGTTGATCTTCGTCGCCGCTTGGGACCTTCGAGAGGAGGAACTCTATTTCAAATTCATGGTGAAGATTATGGAAGCCATACTCGCAAACCAGCTACTGCCGTTTGCTTACCATGCCTTCCGAGAATCAGAGTAGGTGAAGCAATGACATGTGCAGAGGATTCGCTGACGTTTGACCAGATCCAAGGACATTATATCGCCAGCCCAAGCTGTCATCATGAAGCTTCTCACCAATATCTTCCGCGCCAGACAAGTCCGCACTCAACCCAACAAGGGACATGTCAAGTCGAATCATGCGCAGGTTGACCAGGGCGATGTTCATATGGTGAATTTTCTGCTTACCGAGTTTCGACGGCATATCATCCCACAAACCTGTGCACTCATTTTCCTGCAGGGCCAGATTCGAGCCGGACATGCGCAGCCTGAAGACTTTCCTCTCAATCTCTGGGACATGGAGCGCATGTACGAGGGCGTGTACCAGTACCTAGAGTTTTTCGCTATCCTCACAGAACACGAAACATGGAAAAGGATGCTGAGCAACTGGGAAATCTCGCACGAACTAGTCACTCTTCTCAAAGAACTTGATGCCGCGATACCCAAGGGTCAGCTGTCACCGCCACCTCTGAGAAATGCACAACATGCACCACCAACCCCCACACCAGCAGAGGGGGACGCACCACCACCACCACCACCACCACAACAACAACAACAACAACAGCCGCCACAGCCACAACCAGTCGCGGTTGAGCGACCTTATGACACAACAGCAGGATCCTCCGAGTCCTATGTTCCTCCGCCAACATCACCATCACCTCGGCCGTACATGGATGAAGCTGCAGACGAGCCGTCAGACTTTGAGTGGCGTAATCTCAAGAAGCTCGCTATCCTTGTGCTAAGCTCATTAGTATGGAAGAACAAACATGTCCAAGACCAGGTTCGTCCTCTAGGCGGCATCGAGGCAGTGTTGAATTGCTGCTCGTACGACGAGCACAACCCGTATATCCGCGAGCACGCCATCATGTGTCTCCGCTTCCTCATGGAAGGCAACAAGGATAATCAGGAACGCATCCATGTGCTGGAAAAATTCAGCCAGAGAGCAATGGCCAAAGCCAAGAATGCCGCAAATGCACCAGGCGACGCAGCAGACGAGATCCTCGACAGCCCCGTCAACGTCCGTGTACCTGACGAAGTGCTCGATCAACAAGGGTACGAAACCTACATGGACAAACAAGGGCAGGTCATGTTGCGGAAACGCCAGGCCCCACCTCCAGCCCAACAACCACTGACATGTCGCTCAGATCTAGGAGCCAAGGGTAAAGGAAAACTCGATGCTGCTACGCTTGGCAGCATGAGAGACCCCAAAGCACTCGAGGACTTGGTGCAGCAAGTCATGCGCGACCTGCCGCGGGTGCAGGGCCTGAGGGGTGGGGAGGAGAGAGCAATCGAGGTTGAAGAGGCGTTGAAGAAGCTGGATAAGGGGTTTGATGGCGGGAACTCGCAAGGCTGATTTGCAGTCTTGAGTCACAGGCGCTCTGGAGTACGGCAAGTCCGGAACGAGGCTGTGGCACGGACACGTAGCTGAGCGACAGGTTGGAATCGGGTTGGTACTCGTGAGGGAGTGCGAGGGTCAGGACACGATCTATGTGAAAGGGTTTCTACGTCCAGTACTATTACTAGTAGATTGATGGTACTTGGATGTCATGTCGGAAATCAAAGAGGTTCCCATACGAGGGATTGGCGCACCCAAGCCCGGTCTGGGGGAAGATGATTGCCTGATAGGGACTGGGAGCTCGCGACACCTGCCATGGGGCTAGCAGGCATGATTCCGATGAGCAAGGCGTCGGCTTTTGAACAAGGCCCGGTGAAGGGTACCGCCGCTGATAAAGAAGTCGAGTCGCGACACTGTCGTCGGCACAATGCATGCCCGGCGGCCGAATGCAGCAGGTCCCAAGACTTGAGCGCGGTGTATATGTGCTTGGGACGGGAGCCGGTGTGGGGAAATACATGTATGTATATATGAAAGCGGATAGTGGAGTGGGCCGACTTCGGAGCAGAATGCCATGTGTTGGGGGGATATTCCTTGGTATGAAAATATCTGGCCATGTACCGTACTAATAAGACCATGTGTCGAGCGCAGGTGGACGCATGGACTGCAGGCGCTTTGGGCCATTTTTGCAATCTTGGTAGCTACGCCGGCGTCATGGCTCGAGTGAAGGCGGTGCAGCAAACCATTGCGACTCTAGCATGGCTGAGTAGTGGCGTGGCCGCCGCTGCTGCTGCTGCTGCTGCTTCGCACGGCGCATCCCAAGTCAGCCTACCGGGCTATGGAAGCTTCGTCGGCACCACCATTTTCGAGACGCTGACACAGAAACGTCTGGCCCGGCCCGTCGACGCCTGGCTCGGAATCGACTATGTCTCGCAGCCCGTGGGAGAGGCCCGGTTTGCGCCTGTCGGACCCCCAGCGGCCTTTGACGGCACCAAGAATGCAACGCACTATGGCTTCTCGTGTCATCAGGATCCCAAGGATATCACCTACGCCGTCAACGAGGCATGTCTGAACATGAATGTGTTTCGGCCGCAGAATGTATCGGCGCATGATAAACTTCCCGTACTGGTCTGGATCCATGGCGTAAGTTTGGCCGTCAACCTTTTTTTTCGTTATTATTATTATTATTATTTTATTTTATTTGTTCAAAGATCAACGTTTTTGCTGACAGCTTAGGGCGGGTTTGTTGCGGGCAGCGCAAGAAGCTTCGATGGGCCGTCATTCGTGGCCAACTCGAGAGAGCCGCTGATTGTGGTCAACTTCAACTACAGAGTAAGACATTGCCATCCATGTAGAAGCCCATTGGCGGCAACTTATGCATGGCTAATCCAGTCCCCAATGTAGATCAATTCCCTGGGCTTTCTTCCCTCGCCCGTATTTGAGCGCTTGGGCCTTTTGAATCTGGGTCTGCGGGATCAGCAGATGCTATTTGAATTTGTGCAAAAGTACATTTCTGCTTTTGGGGGAGATGGCTCGCGCGTGACGATTGGGGGACGCTCTGCAGGTGCACACTCGGTCGGCATTCACCTCTTCCACAACTACAACTTGACCCAAGGCCCGTCGCCGCTCTTTTCCCAAGCCATCTTGCAGTCGGGAAGCGTGACTGCGCGAGCATTCCCCAACGCTTCGTACCCACTGTACCAAGAGCAATTTGCGCGGTACCTAGACCTTACGGGATGTAGTTCCGTCGCCAACAGCAGCGACACGGCGATTCTGGCTTGCCTGCGGGCGGCGCCCATATCCGCGATTGAGGCGGCCAGCACAGCGCTCTGGCGGGCATCCGAGTATCCCATTGCATGGCCATTCCAGCCCACGCGAGGCGGGCCTCTCCTTGAGCAAGCGGGCTCCGTTTCAGGAGTCAAAGGCCAATTCTACCGCATCCCGACCATTACCACCAACGTGCCCAACGAGGCAAAGTACTACGCTCCGGGCAACATCACGAGCAACGAGCAGTTTGTGGGCTTCTTGAAAAACCTCATGCCAGGCCTGAGCTCCGAGGACATGGCCGATGTCGAGTCGCTGTACCCCGATGCGACGGACCAAGTCAACGGGCCGTATGTGTTTAGTCCCAACTCGACGCAGTATGAGCGGCTCTCGGCAGCGCTGACGGATTACATGTACGTATGTCCTGGACAGGAGACGGCAGTGCGCATGGGCGGGGCGGGGGTGCGCGTTTACAAGGGCGTGTTTGCGGTGAACAATACGTTTCCGGCGTGGAAGGGGATAGCGCATACAGCCGACACAAAGTACACGTGGGCTGAGCCAGGTGGGCGAGGCGGGGTGCAGTATCCGGATGTAGGCAAGCAAGTGCTGAATGCGTACTTTAGCGATTTTGTGGCACTGGGAGATCCCAACATGGGGCGCAGAAAGGGACTGCCGGTTTGGCCGAGCTATGTCGACGAGCAGGAAAAGGGGCTGCCTGGGTTGCAGATGCGCATCAGACCATTTGGCGAGAGTGGCGTCGAGGGCGATGCCATTAGGAGGGTGCCATGTGAGTGGTGGAGGGACGAGAAGCGTGCCGCTAGATTGGACAAGTGAAATTACAAGTAAGTATACCCGTGGTAGGTCGAGGGCAAAAACAAGCGTCTAAGCGCCATCCAACGGTTCGTCATGGGTAAAAGAGTCGAGGTAACGAAAATAGAGGCTTAGTTTCCAGCTAGTCAAGTTTGTATTGATGAGTGTCTGGCCAAAGGAAAAATCGCCCTCGAGGCTGTTCTATGGCATTCCTTGGCTGACACAAGCTGGATATGTATGGTTTCTTTCTCTGTGTGACTCGTCAATCCAATCCTTCTCCCAATCACCGTATTCGTTCAAAAACAAGGGGTATAAATCTCCAAACACCAGCCTCCTCGGCCAAAGAAGAATAAGAACAAGAGTCATGTCCCCTCCCCACCACATTCCTTCCTTCCTTCTTTCTTTTCTCATCGTTTGTCGATTGCAATACGAGGACGTGGGGGAGAAGTACGAGCGAGATATATGTGTTGGGTATGTTGCAGGCAAAATAGTTGGTTTCTTTCTTTTTCTCAATGCATATTCTCAGCTCGTACTTGGCCCCCCATCTTCGGTCGCATAGCAGCGGCAGCCGGGGGATAGCGTGTATTATGCGCGCGCGTTGGACAAGGCGGATGTGAAAGGCAAGACAGAGAAGAAGAGCGGTGTGAAGAAGAGGTAAGGTGGGTATAAAGGTAACAAAAAAGCAAGCAAGTAAAAGAGCGGGGGGGTTACACCACCTGGTACCCAGAATCAAAAAAGAAAAGACAGAAACGGTGGTGAACCAAATGAAAGTATCTCTGGCGCATAAGCGCGAGAATGACATGATAAGCGAAAGTGGTTATGGGAAGTCGAGCCCCAAGCATTAACATATTACCCCAAAAAATAACCGTGCAATCCCATACAAGAATTCTCTCTCCATCTCTTAATTGTGATGCTCATCAGTCGTGTCTGGCAGTTTCCCAAAAGCGAGGAAGTTGGGAAATGCGATTACAAGGTAAAAAAGGGGGGGTATATGAAGAGGGGATTCCCAAAGTTTGAAGATGCGAAACAAACAGACAAAAAAAGGTGTGGGTGTTGGGCAAGCAACGCTGGGTTGCTACCGGGCAAGAAAGGAAGACAAGAGTTGTTCACATGGTGAGCAACCAGGCTAGGCGAAGGGTATAAGGCAAGGACATCAAAGGCGGGGGCAGAATAGTAGTTGGTTGGGCATTGTCGTAGACAGCATGAAACAAAGCTTTGAGCGGCCTAGGCCAAGGGCGCTTCCGGAAATATGAGGGGGTGAATCAAAGACGAGCACCAGTCGATGATGCGAGAAGCAGGAGGCTTCGGGGTGGGTGGCTCATAGCAGTGTCTCAGAGGACGAGGTAGCCGAGACCGGCGGCAGCAATGGCGAGGTAGGCGTTGGCGTGGAGGGAAGCAGCAGCGCCGGGGAACTCGGGAGCCTTGGAAGCGGCTGGCTTGGACACGGCCGGGGAGGAAGCGCCGGGGAGGGAGGCGGAGGGGGCAGAGGCGGTGGGGGCGGCGAGGGCGGTTGCGTTGCCAGCGTTGTACGAAGGCGCAAAGGTAGGGTGGATGGCCGAGATGGTCGAGGTGACGTTGATGGCCGGAGCGCCGGTGGGGTAGCTGCTGGCGGTGATGGTGTTGACGCGAGTAATGGTCGAGGTGATGTAGACGGTGGCGTCGTAAGAAATAGTGTCCTGGGCGTCGGCAGCAAAGGCGCACGCGGCAAGCGCGGCGAGGGCGAAGGACATGGTGTGGAAAGAGCGCATCTTGGAAGCCGCGGCAGTAATAGCGAATGGGCCGGGTGTGTGTGTGTGTGTGTGTGTGAGTGAGTGAGTGAGTGAGTGAGTGAGTGAGAGGGTGATAGAGAGAGTGAGTGAGTGGAAGGATGGATGGATGGTGTGAGGTATGCGACTGAGGCGCAAAAGAGCGACGAAGCGGACAGAGAGCGACAGTGAGAGCGAGCGAGCAAGCAGGCAGGCAGATGGACAGACAGTCAAGGCGGCGGCGGAGAGCCGCGATGCTTTAAGAGTGGGTGTAGTGCGAGGGGCGCAATTTCGAGTGCATGTGCCCTTGTGCCTGGTGCCTGGCGCAATTTCGGCCCCCGGCGTCGGCGCTAGCGCAGGTGCAGGGCCCTGATTGGCGGCGGCTGGCGCAAAGGCGGCTAGCGCTAACGGCTGCCCGGGAGTACCTGAAGCTGGACATGGAGCTGACGGCCATTGTCGCTGTCATGCCCGCCCCGCCCGTGCTAGTCAACGCACGTAGTAAGAGTAAGAGTACGAGTAAGAGGACGAGTAAGAGTAAGAGTAAGGCCAAGTAACAGTAAGAGGACATGCATGCGACTACGAGCGCTGCTGTGTCGTCTCTCGCCCCCATGTGCCCGTGTAAAGGCCCCCATGCCTCGATGCAAACACACAAACACAGGCACGACAGCCCGCCCTGCCAAGCCCGGCTGTAGTTGGCGCCCAGTTTCATGCGCGTCTGACGTAGAAACCTTAACATCACACCCCAATCGTTGCATGCAACAAACACTCGCTCGCTCTCTCTGCTCTGCTGGCCCTCTTTGTCGTGGCACACGCTACACCATACACCTACGCCTAGTGCGCGCCAGCCGAGCACGGGCCCTTTCACCGCTGAGTGCCCTCTCTTCCGACTGGCGCATGCAGCCAGCGAGCGAGCCGGCCAGAGAGCGACATACAGCAGACGAGAGAGAGAAATTTCTGCAAAGACTCTTCTTCTTACTCGCCGCCTCTTGACCCGTCAGCCCACCCCAACAAAAAACAACAACACACACACACACACATGTCGTCCTGCCCCGCCCGTCGTGGGTTGGCACATGGGCACAGCGAACAAGTCCAAGAATGAAATTACCATTACCCTCGACATGCACGCGCCCGCCCTCTGATTGGCTGCCATCCCTGCTATCACTACCCGGCCCTCATTTCACCCTCGCCTTGTTCAAATCGTCGCATCCGAGCTATTGGCACACTCACACTCACACTCACACTCACATCACACTCACACCCCATTGCAAATCCAGCTCGTGCTCCTTGCCGCTAGTCACCATCCGTCCCAGCCAAGCATTCCTCGCTGCCACATGGCTGTCACCCACCCGCCTCCCCACACTGCTCTGCTCACCACTCACTACCACTACTGTGCTCCCCTCGGCCAAATCATCGTGCAAAAAGCCCTCTCTCCATCCCTCTCTCCCTCCCCATCCCCTCGTATCCCTTCTCGTGTGCCCGGCTCTACCCTCATCACACCGCCCCCCGAGCCCGCTGACTTGCTCTCTCTCTGTATCCGCGCCCGTTAGCCTTGCTCTCAGTGCGCCACCTTCTCCCTCCCTCCAGTCCCACCTGGGCTGTCACTCCCGCCCCTAGTGAAAACAATAAAACAATCCACTCACACTCGTCCAAACACCTTCCCCCAACACTACGGCAAAAGTCGGGGGATAAAGGGAAAAAAAATCCACGCACGAACCTTGAACATGGTCTTGGCTCCTTCACCATGGTTGCAAACTCCTCCCCCCCCCCTCGTTTGCGACTCACGCCGCTACCATCGGCACCTACCAACAACCCTCAGTCCGCTTCGACCACTTCGGCACTTTCCCACAGCCTTCGACACATCTCCTCGGCTTCGTTTCGACTGCGCCCATGTTCGCTCTCAAAGCTTGGACGCCCTTCGTGCTCAAAACTGACTCGTGATCTCCGCGAGCTCGCTCCGTCCGTTTCACTCACGCCCTCATTGAAACTCGTGCTCACGCTGCTGCTGCCCCCCATCCCCATCCCCGTCCCCGTCCCCGTCCCTGTCCCCGTTCCCACCCCGTTGCTCGCCTTTTGCGTCCTGGCCATCCGCCCTTTGCGCGACATGCCCGGCATCTGGTAGATGCGCCCCAGCGCATCCGCCACCGGATTGCGGTATCGTCGCACCACATTGTACTCGACCGCAACATGGTTGAACTGCTGCTGCAGCCGCGGGTCCAGTCGCCCCTCGCCGTTCGCATGGTAGTGCATGCTCGACTGCAAGTACGTCGGCCCGCCTGTGCGCGGCAGCGTCACCGGCACCAGCTTCTGCGGCTCCACATTCGACGACGCCCGTTGCAACATGAGCTTCTGCTGTGTGCGCGACGGCGGCAGGCTCGTCGTCGGTGTCGTTGTCCCTGACCGCTGCGGCGTCTTGGATGGCGTCTCTGCCCCGCCGCTGAAGTTGGGCATCGACTTGTTCCGCTTGCTCTTGTCCAGCCCGCCTCCCTCTCCGCCGCCTCCCCCTCCCCCTCCCCCGTCCTTGCCCCCGCCGTGTGCTGCCATGTATTCGCCGTCGTGTGGCGTCCCCGCCGACCCATCGCCGTCCATAAAGCGCGACACAAGATCGCGCCCAGGCGTGTCTACTAGTGTCGACCCCACAGACCCAGCTGTGTGACTAAGGAGGTTGTGCCGATCCGACGACGACACCACCGTCGCGGCAACCGACGTGGTTTTGGGAGGGACGTGGTGCGAGGCGCTGCGCTGCAGCAGACGCGACGTTATCATATCTGCGTCAGGAGGCCGCGAGTGCTGGTAAGAGCTCGCGCCGTTGATTTGCGTGCTGTTGCGCGCGCCATCGCTCACCGCCGGCGCTGGCTGGCTGGGCGGCTGCCGACTCGCCACTGCTTGCTGTGATGGTTCGCCCCGGTTCCTCTCCATGTTGATCTCAGCCGCCCGGTGTTGTGCCTCGAGTATGACCGAGTTGGAGCGCGTGTTGGATCGCGTCGTCGTCGGTGATTGCGAGGCGCTCTCTTCCGTCCACCCGCCCTCGTCGCCCTCGTCGCCCTCGTCGGCCAGGTCGAAATGCACTCCAGCGCCCGGCTCGGGCGATGCCTGGCGAGATCGATTGGGCGTGGCGAGTGCGCGCCGCGACACACCATGGTCGCCCTTGGACTTGACCGCGTGTTTGCCGTGGCCCTGTCGCGGCGGCAGGTGGCCGCTCGAGTGGTTGCGGCGCAGGTTCGCATTCACCTGCGCCTGGTTTGCCCGCACAATCGCCCCCGACGATGCGTGGCGCTTGAAGCCCGGCCGCCCGTGGGGGCTGCTGGGCGCAGACACCGAGTTGCCAGACTGCGAGCGACGGTGGTGTCGCCCCCCGTGCTCTGCGCCCTGCTGCGCCTGCTTCTCGGCCTTGCTGAGCTTGTTGAGGTTCTTCCCAAACGACGTGTTCCGCTGCACGCGCTGGCCCACGACGTGATGGCGCTGCCCTTTGTGGTGAGCCGCTCGCTGGTGGCCGCCCTCGGATGGCGACTGCGAAATGTGCGACTGCGACGACGACTGTCGTGTCATTGGCGTGGGTCTCTTGGACCGCGAATGCCCTTCGTCGTCCGACGCCATGCTCGCTCACGGCTGGCGGTACGGGCTGCTGCGTTCGGAGGGTGCGTCGAGGGAAAGCCTGGGCTGCGGTTGGGCCGTCGATGTTGCTGCTGCTGCTGCTGCTACTGCTGCTGTTGCTGCTGTTGCTGCTGTTGCTGCTGTTGCTGCTGTTGCTGTGGCTGTGGCTGCGTGCAATGAGGGTGCGTCGTTCTGCGCGTGGCAGGAGCAAAGTGGAGCAGCCAGCGGAGAGTCTGGTGGCAGTGGTGCTGGCGGCCAAGATGATGTGCTTTAGCGGGCGGCCATGGACGCTCTCAATTGCCAGTCTTGGAGCGTTGGGACGTCGTGCAGCGTGCCACGTCGGATCCAATGATAATTCATCAAGCTGGCCGAGTGCATGCCCGCCCGTCAAATGAGCAGGCGGTGAATCAGCCCCGGCCGCTTTCGGTTCACCGCGGCCCGGCCCAACGTCATATGACACCCTACCCTGCCACTGCTGCTGAACATCCACCTATACATGTACTTACTTACATAGCAAGCCATGCAACATGTGCCCAGGCAACACCACACCTATTGCTTGCATAACTCTATCTGCCTCTATATCATACACTCTCCATACCTGCTTCAAGCTGTGTCCCATGGTTATGCTGCATCGCTCCACTCACTCGTCCTTTCTCAATAGCACTACAGTAGGTACTTATACTTACACCTCATGCGCCGTCATAAACCTACTCTTCGAGCAGCGCATCCACGCTATGAAGAAGCCCGCTCTCCACACGGTGCATGGCACGTATTCTAACCATGTTGTTGCCATATCATCATCATACTCACTCTCCTCTCACGCCCGCCAATATATCTATCCATGTCGTTGACCTTGGCCTTCCCAACCTGCCCGTCTTGGCTTGTCACATGACAAAGTTCTTTGCAAACCTCTTCAGCTTGCATCGCATCCCCCGTTGCAGTGCCGCTCGCTGTGGGCTGATTTGTCGCTGTGCTGGATTCATACCGTCGATGCAACCAAACGATGAAGTTGTGAGCATCGACTCGGGGCGCGAGCGATACGACGGCGGAGGTGGCCCAGAGAAGTAAGTCGGGACGTCAGACAAATCACCCATCGAGTCCTCACGACCCACGCCTGCACCTGCTGTTGACGGCCTTGTGCCATCTGCACTCCGTCCTGTGCCCATCAACATTGTGTAAATACGTCGTTCCGAGCCACTGTCGGAATCTCCAACCCTGGTGCTGACTGGCGTGCCGTACCGGGGAGTACCGCATTCGCGAGACTGCTGATGGACCGCTAGTAACCCACCATCCTGCGCCGCCATGGTCCACTTCGATGGCCGTATGGCACCATTTGGCGCCGACGTGGATCGCTTCATCATCACAGGAACCTCGCCTCGTCCCATGCTCCTGTAGGAAAGAGTCAAGACCGGCGCAGATGCAGACTGTTTGTTTGCATGATCCTTGTCCAGACGGTGCTGAGATTTGGTACGAAATAGTGTGGGCATTTGGACTCGCATTTTCCACCGACGACAGCACCTTCTTGGTTGGCCAGCCGATGATGCTGCTGACCTGGCTACGAACAGTGGAACAACATGCTGGGCGGCCGCCGAGTCTTTGACACCAGGACCTGTCGCCTCTTTCCAGTATGAGATGCCAGACATCAGTGCAGGCGAGGGTGTGTTCATGCTAGCTTCCAGCCATGCATGGACATCTCGAATGACGCTCGAGTCCGGTCGTGCCGGGCGTATGGGAGGAAGTGGAGGTGTGATACGCTCAGTGGTGATGGGCTTGGTCGGCAATACTGCAATAGTGTCCAAGCTGGACGCATTTGTACCTGTTGGCGCTGTGTGTGGCCGCTGTAGAGACACCTTTGCCCACATGTCTGTGTCTTCGCTTGTGTCCTTCCCGGCCTGTCGTGATACCACTTTTTGCATGCGTCGCTGTAGCCACTTTTTTGCTGTCCCGCCGTATTTGTGATGAGGTGCAGAAAGGGTGTTGTCGGTATTGGTAACGGCCATGCTAACTATCTGTAAAGGAGCTGCTTGCGAGAATGTCGTACGCTGAGTGATGCGCCGTGGTATGATGCATGTGGAAAAGGCAGAGGAGAGGGCTGCTCGCCCCAAGTGCCATTGTACAACACAGACGTCATGAGCGTAATGGGAAAGAGCCGTGTTGGGCTGGCTTGCGTTGCAGTCACCTCACTTACTCTGGGCAGGCACGCCCAGCGCTCATCCTTTGTCCAAGCCATCTTCACTGATGAGTGATGCACCACCCATTGCCTTGCCAGTCATCACGATTTGTCAGGGCACCTTGGTTGCAGAGTCACCATCTATCTTGTCGACTCGTCTGAAGTTTCCAGTTTTATATTGAGTTTGCAGCCTGACCAATTCTTTCCGCCGGGCACCGCCAATGTATCTAATATCTACAGAGATGAAATTTTGTGGATGGGTATATATAGCTAAACAAGATGGCCTCCCAAGTGTTTGCCAGTGAAGGCAGATGGATTCTACAAAGGAAAGAAACATTCTTGGTGTTGGTGTGGGTTATTAGGTAGTAGGTGAACAAATGATAGAGACGGGTATCAAGTGACGAGGCCGGGTATATGGTGATGCGCACGAGAGGGCCAAGCTAAGAAATCGAGAAAAGAGACGGGAAATGTCGACAAAGGAAAAATGACAAAGAAGGGCCAACATTGCAACGTAGCCATGATCGTCTCTCACGCTACGCCTTTTGGAGGAAAAAACATCTCTTTTTCATATAGGCGTTGTGGGTGCGGCGCAAAAAAGCAGTCGGCTGGCAGCCAGGGCTCATGACCCCATGGATACGCTACCGTCGTTGGAGCCGACGAAGCCTGACTGCATGCCCATGTCGAGACGCAGGAACTGGTCTTGGTGGTTTTCAAGGCCGTCCATGCTGCCCGACATGCCCATGGCACCGCCCATGCCGCCCATGTTGCTCTGGCTGAGATTGTGCGGATCCATCATGGCTAGCGACTCGCGTCGGCTGCTGTCCGCTGAGCTGACATGCTGGAGGTGAGGCGAGAGCTGGTGTTGCTGATGCTGGTGAAAGTCTTGGTTGCGCGACTGGTTCATGTGCTGGCGAGCGGCCGCCCACGCTTGCGCTTGCGCTTGAGCCTGTGCTTGAGCCTGCGCCATGTGGGCCTGCGTCATGTGCTGGGGCGTTTGCATATGCGGCGGAAACTGTTGCTGGTGGTGTGGCGGTGTTGGCTGCAGAGGGGTGCTGTGGTGGTGCTGCGGCTGCGGCTGGTGCAGCGATGGCCCATGTGCCTGGTGCTGCATGTGATGCATTGCCTCTTCCTCGTCATTCGTGTGCGGGGTAAGATCAATTCCATCATCGTCGTCGCCCTCGGCATCGACCTGATCGCTGCCCACGTCGCCGTTGACCGTTGCCGGTGCGCTAAAGGGCATGCTCGTCTCAACCTTGACCGGGCTCCCCTGCCGGGGCTGGCTAGCAGAGGTATACGTCTGTGGTGGCTGGCTCGCCATGGAGCAATTGCTCGAATTGGCGTCACCAGGCAGTTGCTTTTGGGCAGCCAGACCCGAGACGGATACTCTGTTTTCCCGTATGGCTGTCCGCCACTTGTCAATCAGGCGGTCGTAGTCCCAATTGCGGTAGTCCATGCCGTGCTTTGCAAGCTCCTTGGTTGTGTCGGTGCTCAGATTGATGGTGATGGGCGACACGTCGGAGGCGCCCGACGTCCAGCGGTTGGCCTTGAGGTAGTCAATCTCTTTCCGGGCATTGTCGAGCTGGACGTCGGCCTCGCGTCGGCGGTCGTCGGCACGGGCATAGCAGCGCAGAATCTCAATCTGCCAGTACTCCTGCTTGGTCTTGTCGGAATACTGGGTCCAGTGGTGGTAGGCGTCCGCAATGTGGCCAAAGAGGCGCTGGGGGTCGTGGTCAAAGAGGGGCGGGGTGGGCAGCGGCGAGGTGGTCGTGGCCGACGAGGGGGCATTGGGGTGCGAGGTGGTGGCGGGGAAGACTTGGTTGAGATGTCGCTGGCGCTGGTAGGCAAGGAGGCGCTCGCGCACCTGCTTATTCAGCGCCTCGAACTGCTTCTGCCCCGGCGGGGCGATGGACCATGACTCGGCGGTCGGGAAGGGCGTGGGGGAGAAGAGCGTCGAGGGGGCGGGGAGGATGTGCAGGCACAGCGAGGGGAAGTTCTGGGCATAGGGGTCGAAGTCGAAGAGGCCGGTGCCCGAGGCTTTGGCACTGCGTGGGGGGGTTAGCCGGGGAGGCGTCGTGGTGGGAGGGGCGCGACTCTGCGACTTACTTTGCTTCTCGCACGCTCTTCAGCAGCTCGCGCAGGGCCATCTCGGTGGCGGCGGCAATCTCCATGTCGTCGCTCGTCTTGTGCCGCTGGTCGAGGTCGGCCTTGCGCAGCTGGCGCGAGGCATCGCGGCGGGCGTCGGGCGTCTTGGTGATGAGGCGTGGGGGCCGGTTGGCGCCGCCCCAGGTGACGTCCTTGAAGTGGCCGCGCGACTTGGCCACGTGCAGCGAGTCGTCGTCGTCGTCGTCGGGGCTCTGCAGCAGCATGGCCGAGTCCTCGCTGGCCACGCGCTTCTTGGTGGCCGGGGTGCTGGCGCCGCTGTCGTCGCGGCGCGGCGTCGACACACTGCCCTTGGCCTGGCGCCTGGTGATGCCGCCGCGCAGCTTGCGGATCTCGTCGACAATGTGGATGCCATCGGGGGCCTTTGGGTTCTTGGCGCGGATGTAGAGGTCGAGGTGGCGGCCCAGGCTGGACGAGGTGAAGGCCTGGCCGCAGAAGGGGCAGTTCTTGTCCTTTGCCGCCTTGAGCTGCGGCTCCGTCGTGGAACGGGGGGTCGACTCGGGCTCGGCTTCGCCCATGGTGGTGAGACTGTGTATATATATTGTTCAGGGTTCCCAGGCTCGGGCGGGCGGAGGTGGAAACAGAGCGTCCTTCATGCACGCCAGGTCGTCGGGGTCAGGGCTGTGGGCATTATTATGATTACGGATACTCGAGAGGGTGCAGGCAAGGAAAGATGGGCATAGTGCACGCCAATGGCAAATGAGTGAAGACCAATTGGACGCTGGCAGGCAAAAGGAGCGACGCGCTAGAGCAATATTACTTTGCTCTGCCAGCTTGGCGTGCAAAGCTGCCCCTAAACCTCCTCGCGCACACCATGATGCGCGCGCCCCGCCGCCCCGCGGCCCGTGCGCCAGACTCTGCAGCGGGAAGCAAGCCCGCCCGAAGCTGCTGGCCCGTGCACCCAGTCGGCCCATGAGTCGCGCGCCAAACGCCCACCACCACCACTTCTCCTTCCACCCACTGCTCTCTCTCTCTCTTCCCCCCCCCCGTCGTCGACCAAAGCTGCCCGCCCGCCGGTGCCGGTGCCTGTGCCTGTGCCGGTGCGTCTGTGCCAGTGCCAGCCTGCCCGCCAGCCTGCCAGGCCTGCTTCAATCATCCACCCAATCGCGTCCCCCCGCCCGGAGCTGCGCCTCCTCACGTGCTCACCGCCGCACCCGCCCGCGCGCTGCCCTTCGCGCTGCAATCTCTTCGTACTCGTCCATGCCGCCCGCCAGCCTATCCACCTGCCCTTTGCTCACCCGAAAAACGGTCGCGGGCCCCATCCCTGCCGCCCCCTCGTCCGAGTCGTTGTCCTCGTCGTCAGCCTCGCCCTCGCCGCCACGAACCCCTGGCGCTAGCTTGTACGGCCACTCTCCTTCCACGGCGGTTCTGTGGGGCTGTCAATAGCTGAACCTTATTACCACCATGGCTCTTCCAGCCTCGACGCCCTGCGAGCCACACAGCGCGGCGAGCCATGGCCCCCACGTTATGGCATCGCTCGTCTACTCGTAGCACTGCTACTGCTCACGGTACGTACCTCATGAAGAACCTGTCGTGCGTCACCACCACCACCGCCCCCTCGCACTTGCGCAGGGCGAGCACCAGACCCATGATTGTGTCCGTGTCCAGGTGCGTCGTCACCTCGTCGAGAATGAGCAGCTGTGGAGGCGGCCACAACAACCTAGCGAGCGCCACCCTGACCATCTGCCCTCCCGAGAGCAGCATTAGCGGCACGTCCGACACTGTCTGGCCGTGCAGACCCAGGCCGCTCAGCAGCCCTCGCGCGTCCTTCTCCTGTACACCATCGCCAACCGACTTCATTACATGCCCCAGGGCGGTCAGTTTGGCGTCCTCGGACGCCATTGCGGCAAGTTCTTCCACAGCCTGCTGCGAGAAGCGACCTATCCTTGCTCTTGGATGCCGGATGATATTCCCCGACGTCGCTGTCAGGCCGTCTCCACCATGGCTGCCAATGATCAGGGACACTAGCGTCGACTTGCCTGACCCGTTCAAACCTGCCAGCCCAATCCGTGCGCCCGGCTGGATGCTAAAACTAACGCCCTTCAGCACTGGCTCCTGGCTCTTGGGGTACCCAAACGACACATTCTCCAGGCTCACCAGCGCGCCCGGGAATCTCAGCTCGGGCGGCTGGAGCGGGAATGACAGCTCAACCGGGGGATCAAAGTCTGGTATCTCAATCTCACCCCGACGAGACGTGTGATAGCCAGCGAGGTCGCGATTCAGCTTGAAGCGCCCGCCCTTGGCATTGACCTGCATGCCCATGCGATCATCGAGCTTCTTCTTCCGTGACGCGGCTTGCTTAAGCTTCTTGTCATCTCCCTTGTCTTTGGCTGCTTTGATGTTGCTTGCAATGCTCTTCTCAATATGCTTTCTCTGCTTATCTTGGGCCTCCTTCATCTTGGTCAGGTACCTGAACTTCTTCCATCTTTCGCGCTCGTACAGAGACAGGTTGCCGCGGAACGTTTCCAGCTTCTGGTTGCGGAGCATGATCAGCTCGTCAGCCACGGCATCCCCAAAATCGCGATCGTGGGTGGTAATCAGGACCGTCGGGCCTTTTAGGTCGCAAATATAGCCTTGCAGCCATATGATGGATGGTAAGTCGAGAAAGTTGGTGGGCTCATCCAACAGCAGTACGTCAGCATATTGTGTCAGCGCACAGGCGAGTTCGCAGCGCGTTCTCCAGCCCCCAGAGAGCTCTGATACTGGGCTATCGATGCGATCGTCCTTGAAGCCAAGACCCGACAAAACCATACGAGCCTTCATTTCCGCTCCACCGGCGTCCATCAGATCCAGCGACGCCTGCACATCAGAAAGCATATCCAAGGCAGCCTGAGTTTCTTCGCTCAGCTTGGTTGGATCAATATCGCCTTCGCTTTCTGCTAAACGCTTCCCAGACTCCTGGAAGCGCTCCTCCAGCTTGACGAGCTCCTGTCTGGCCTTTTTTCCTCGCAGCCCGCTCCTCCTCTCCGCCAGACGATGTGCTTCTCTTAACTGCAATGATAGTCTAGCATGGCCAATGCGCCTATAAGCCCGGACTGGCGCAATGGGATCGTTCGCATTGTCGACCGCGTCGCTAAGCGTCTTCGCTTCTTGCATATAGCGCTCCCGAACCCGGTCGCTTCGGATGACATGGTGTAAGACAGTTTCCTCCTCTAGCTTCAGTCCGGTCACGCCCTCCGTGAGATCGGCACGTCTAGTCTGGCCTAGGAGTAGGATACGCGTGCTCCACGGGATGCCGGGCACCAGTCCATCAGCCATGGCCTGAAGCAGTGTCGACTTCCCGGTCCCGTTCCGCCCGACTAGCACGTAGTGCCGCGCTTCTACCAAGTGCAGAGTCGTTCGTGAAACTAATTCTCGGTTTCCGACCGTGATGGAAAGGTCCTTGATGAGTACCTGGATACATGAGCAGCGAATCCATTTTTGATACCATGAATGTATACCTCTTTCGAAGCAGGCGCGTCAACAGCATCCAAGGCATACCGTGACTGCTGCGCTGTAACTGCAATGTGCCCACCACCTACATGTTCCTCCGCCGCTTGTGGGGCCACATCCTTGGTCGTTTTTACCATTGTGCTTTGGGAAACGTCCGTGTGGTACTTATCTCGTATCGTGATGATGGCTCAACTCGGAGTAGTCGTTGAGGTGTCTCTTGTGTCCGAATCAGAACGTGTGCTTTGGCAATTATGGCCTTTATAACCACATGGCATTAGCGCAAGGTTGAGTGGGTATGTTGGTGATGCCAAGTTGGGACATTGATATCAGGATGAGTCGATTTGGAGAGCTCTGATTGGACAGGATGACGTGTGGCTGAGACGGGAGAGAGCGAGGAAAGCGACTGTGGCGACGTTGGCACTTTCTCCTTTTCTCCATCAGCCATTGGATGTTTACAAGCACATGTGTCGCTTTCACATTTCATCCGCGTTTGCCCATTGCTCCTGACGTGCAAAATTATGGTCACGTGAATTGATCGTATTGCTTTTTTTATCAACTTCAATTCCATGAAGAAATTGAAGATACTTTGATTCGATACAATTGATTCAGCCTACTTGGCAGCAGATGATAATGTAAGCACCATAATAAGTGGTCGATTTTGGCGATTTTAAGCATAGATGAGGATAGAGTTCTTGATGTTTTGTAATACGAGTAGCTTGGCTCGGCATACTGGCACTCTGACCTCTGTTTGGTCCCACGACGATATGCAAGGTATGAATGTACCTATTCATGTTCTGGATATGTTAAACTGTGTGAAATCCTATTTTCTGCGCTTCCATCTGCACACCACCGTCACTGTTCTAGAACATGGAGCCAAGGTACCTCTTGCTACAACATCATTACGTGCTTTTTCTAACCAAAAAACCTGGCGTTTGGTCCTGCATGCAACATTCTCCGGGCTGTGTACTAAGTTGATATACGCAGATGGGATATTCGAGTTTCTTTTTTTGGACTTTCCAGTAATTGAGCATATTGCTAATCTGCGTTTTCTAACCACAGTCAGCTGCAGTTGTTCATTAACGTTCAAAGTGCGTTTCAAGTTGTATTTTCCTAATATCTAGAGCAACATAGCAAAATGTAACAAACCGCCATTCAGTACTAATTGTCAGCGAATGAGATCGCTCCCATAACAGCCATTTTGCCATAAAGACATTTAGTTTCCACCAGTTGCATCGGGTAGTAATAGGAAACCGGTACGCAGCTAGAAATCAAAAATGGAAGCTAAAATGTAGTCTCAACCATGGCAAAGCATCAGGTGTAAATCAGTAGTGTTGGTTAGATATATGGTGTTTCATCAATAGATTAAGTGCTCCAAAATAAATCTCATTGAGAGATATCAGGTCAATCTACTCGACATGACGGACGCTGTCATTTAATTGTGTAGGTGTAATCTAATGCTGTAGAGTCGCGACAAACAGAAGCTATCCATCAAAAACAAGAAACTCAACCAGGAAAATGCATTTGTGCAGCGCCCCATGGTAATAGAGGTGTTGCATAAAAAGCGGAAAAACTTGGTGTTCGACCAAAAGGTTGGATTTCACTGTTGTCTTTGGTAAAGCACTGGGATTATGAAGCAAAGGCCCATCATTCAACTGGCGATGGGGAATGTATTTCAGACCAGTCATGACTGAAAAATATGATGATACTGTAAATCTCGAGTTGATCCACATGCTTGATTCAGCCAATCTCTTTGTGCTGCCTGTGCTGACCATCGTGGGGCATGAGAACAGCTGTTGGATGTATCTTCCTCTGGGTAGAAGCGGTGCAATATCTTCTGCCGCAGACTGAGTTCTCATCAAAAAAAATCCAAGTCTTAGCGTAACGCCAGTCAACGCCCTTGTTTCGTAATGAAATGCAATATTGATATTGTTTAATCGTGCAATAGTGCGGCATTCGGTCATGACGTTTTACCATGAGATGACACTAAAGGAGAAGGATATCCACCAGTGCTACTAGAGGAGATGGCCTACAGAATGGCAATTAGTCGTATCGATATTGTACAACGCGTATGGCTGGCCACAAATCTGTGAAAGCCGGTATTGCCCCTTGGACACTTGACTGGCAGCGTAAAACATCAGATGTAGCCTGGAAACAAACCTCCAATTGAGAAACGAGTGGTTTTGAATGACAATCGAGGAATGGTGACTATGAATAGTCATTTTGGCATCAACGACAAGGGAAGGTTTCTTACTTTTGCTGTTCACGGGAATTTAACATGGCAGTGGAAGTCGCAGTTTCACATTGACCAACGAACGATGTGAGAAGTTTGTGTGCCTAGGATATCAATCTACACCAGCTTGCAACTATCCCTATGAATTTATGATAACCCCAAAGATTGGAAGGTCAATGGGTCATTTCAGTAGAGATACCCAAGATGGAACAAGTAGAGACAGCCGTCGTAAAAGAGGATTCATAAAATAATGTATATTGAATCTTCCGATTATTATCGCGCCATGACGTCTGCTCCAGGTGGAACTCAAGACACATAACGATGCAACAGATTGTAGCATGCAAAAAATTGCATCGTTGGTTGCAAATAGTGTTGAATCTTCAAAGCGCATTGGATACGACAAGTACACGTTCCTGTAGAGTATGCGTGACGTCTACAGTGTGTAGTCTAAACTTGTACCATGGTGGTGCTCGTCGCATTAACGCATCAACATGTCGGCTGTCTACATGAACGGGCCGCATCTTGCAGTGATCGTTGCAGGCTTTGATGCAGGCCAATCCCCACAGCGGGAGTTGGGGAGATGATTGGCCCAGGGGGGCGTAAGCTCGGTGGCAGTGCAGAGGAGAACCATGACGACGGGTCCAGGAAGGATGGATGGGTGATCTCGCTCCGGGTGATGGTCGGGCTTACTATTGGTACTGTGCCGCTAAGCTTTGGCAATCATGATCTGACGCACTAACGGACGTCACGAATGCTTATTTGGCCGACCCTGCGCAGTAAATTTCTGGTAGCAGCACAGCGATCTGGGCAAGTGTACAGCCATCGTATTTGCGAGCTGGCTGCATGATTGTTGGGCTAGTTGTTGGTGTTAGTGGCTGTACTCTTGCTCTCCGGTATGACTGCACAAGCAGTGCTAATTTTAGCACCGACTATTTTAAGCGGTACCGTATTTGTGCTCTAGACTAGAGACTTAGTACGTGTATGTATTCCCCGAGTAGAGCCGGTTCTTAAGGAGAAGTGGGGCAACACTTTTACGAGTTTTTAGCACATGTAATAATCGAGAAGAGATATAGAAAATCGTATCTGCATATTCACTGCGTAGGGCGAATGGCTAGAGGTGTCTGGCCTAAAACGCTTGGCTTTGAAGGCTGGCGCGTAAGCACAAGAGATGATTTAGGTTCGGAGTGCATGTAGGGTGGACGTCCGCAGTGGTGACAGGGTTCGATGGGCGACGTAAGACGTTTTTGTCGCTAGTTCTCACGCTGCCTCTGAAGATGTGGAAACGGACAGGGTGAAATGTCGGGGGTGAGGATTGGGCTATACATAGTTTTGTAGCTCGCTGTGTTGGAGAAGAACTGACCCTCTCAGCAGTCCTTGCTACAACGTGGTTTGTCAACATGACAAGGAGGAGAGTGGAGAGTTGAGTGTGTCTCTTCAACAATCTCTCCAGCGCCAGATGAGGCTATATGCCTGTAATACCCCTGCGATATCGTAAGCTCAAATCATTCCACCACCATCAGCCACTTCACGGACGCAAGCCCTACCAGTCTGTCCGGCACAAGGCCGCTCAGAAACTTGGCATTGCAATCAAGTCCCAGACCTGCTGAAGAGATGCTGATACACACGTCAAAACCGTGCATGTCAGACAGTGTGTTGAGACGCATGCAAACCATGGCATTGCCACAACGACACATGTGACGATAACGAATCAGGAGCCCGCACGAGCGGCTAAGGATACTGTCCAAAAAGCAAGGGTGCAGGAGCCCGGAAGTAGTACGGCTTACTTCCGACTTGGCCCAACTCAGGCAGTGGCAGCGTGGTCGCCTAGGCACCGAAAGCTGGAGAAAAATCCGTTCGTGTCGTTGAGGTGAAAGCGACAAGGGACGCAAACGGGGAGTGCCGGCCTCGGTCTTGTTGTCTGGCGTGAATCCAAACTCTGTGGTGCTGGGCGTGCGGGCAATACACATGTCAGCCGGGGCAGATCCATGACGGTAAGTGGGTGGTGCTAGTGGCTTGGCCTGAAGATGGGCTGCCTTTGTATGGCCAGTTGTGAGGGGAAAGGCGCCATGTGCTTGACTAATCAGTGGTACGCTTAAGCCACGGACAAGGAGAGCCAAGCCATGGCAGCAATGGGAAGGTGACAAGGGGTCCGGGTGTCACGGCATTGGCATATGACCCGTGATGCCTGGATGCCATGGACACTGGCGATGATGTGCACTTGGGCCCGACTTGGACAGGAAACAATGCTGAAAATCATCAGCAAAAGGCAACAAGTGGAACGTCGTGTTTGTGAAAAGAAATTTGAAGCTGATTTGAAGACCCGTCTTGGGGGTATCATCGCGCCAGAAAACCCGGGTCGGAAACGAATACGCGAGGAACACTATTTGACCGTCGTGAGCCAATCAACCCCCAGCCCAGAACCAAAAGTAAAGCCCAGAGCCCAATGAACGCCTCGTCGATGCAACGCTATGCTATGCAATAAATACCCTCTTCCATGTCATTACCATTTCTTCTTGTTTCGCCTTCATTCTGGCCTAAAGGGGCGGAAATAATGATCATTGTATTATGTTTTCCTTCTGCTCTTGTATTATACCGCCAATGTTTTCGGCAAAGACTTTTTGGATGGGAAGCGTGAGCGCATTCATAATGTTCTCTCGGAAGTCAATCTTGACGTTGCTCTTGTCGAACCAGTAATGGCGGATGAACTTGCCCTGGCAGTTGCTGATTTCGACGCCGGGAAAGCCGTTTGCTTCTGCGCATTCGAGCTCCTTGATGTTGTTCTCGTAGTCGTACCGGATGTATTCGCCAAAAGCAGATTGCTCGTGAAAGCGGGGCTGCTTCCACTGGGAGCAGTTTGCGTAGCGGGTATCGTCGGGGCACTCGTGCCATGCTTTGAGGATGGGCATAGTGTCCTTGTTGTTCTGCACAATCATGAAGCCCGTGTTGGTGTAGGTGCGGTTGAAGCGATCAGAGTTGTATTGCGGCTCCTTTGCGGTCCAGGGGTCCTTTGCCATGACAAAAGAATGGTGTGGTTGGATGTCCCAGTAGTTGAGCAGCCACTCAATGGGCACGTGGAGGAAGCGGAATGCGGCGTCTGCGTCGAGGAAGACAATAAACTTGTAGTTTTTGATGTGGTTTGCGAGCGCAGACGGCTTGATCCAGGTCGCGTGGCGGTCTTCGAATTCGCTTGCGTGGATGAACTTGTAGTCGTAACCGTGGACGAGGGCGTACGTGTAGTGATTGAAGACACCGCCGGAAACGTGGTTGATTTCTCTCCAGTCGTACTCGCCCTTGCGGTACGCCTCGGTAGAGGGGAGCGGCCGTGTTTCCAGATCCAAAACCAAGATGTCGCTGCCCATGGTCTTTTTGTAGCGCGGGTTCGGCGGCAGTGTGATGTGGCTGCCATTTGGCTCGCGGATAAAAGGCTCCGTGGGCGCCGTCTTGAGATCCTTGTACAGCAAGCGGATCACATCACTGATGGACACATCGGCCTGCGCATTGGCTGCGGCCCTGTTGCGACGAGTGTTAGCTGGGGCAGAGGAGAGAGGGCGGAGACTGGTGGCGCTTTCGTCCCATGTGTGTCCAGACGATAGTAACATACATTCCCGTGTTGGGCCCGCCGTGGAACACCATGCGAGGCGGGCTCTGCCATGCCAGGAAGGCAAACATGAAGACGAGCACACAGGCAGCGCTCACCGAGAGGGTGAACAGCGGGCTGCGGCCGCCAACCGACGGGAGCATCATGGCGAAGGGCGGAGGTCCAGGAACGGGAGGTCGGTCGGCCTGGACGAGCGACACAGTGCGGAGGGCAGACGTGTCTGTTCGGTTGTTGCAGGCGATAGGGGGAGCAGCGGCGTCCTTGGGGGGGGGGGTGGCGAGCGGTGGGGATCAGCAAGTTTATGTAAAAAGACGACGGCCCATTAGGCACAGAGCCAAGGCGCGCAGGGAGGTGGCATGGGCCGCCAACGAGATTGCGCTTGGCGGGCCATGGGCCTTTTCCGGCGAGCGTGCAGCCAAACGGGCCCCAAGCCGTTCCCATCTTGGTGTACAGCCTCCAGGGCCTCGAGTCCCGTCATGGCCATGGTCCTGGTCCTGGTGGCGAATCACGCCTGGCCCGGTGTTCGGCCGTGCATCGTTGCGGCTGTATGGATGCTTGCACCATTGCCATCGTGTCCGCCGGCGGGCGGCATGGCCATGGGCGGCTCGCTGCCGCTGCTGGGCCGGGGGGCATGGCGACACGCTGCCGCATGCATGGCATGGCATTCTTGGAGTGGCGGATAAATGCGAGTATGTGGATACAGTAGGAGATGGCGGTGGCTGAAGAGGCGGATGTGCATGTGCATGTGGATGCAGACAGGGAGACGGAACGGCTTTGTGGTGATCCCGGATGAGTCCACCACCTCATCATAAGAAATCGAACAGTCTCTAACTGTATTCGGCCTAGTACTGTTCGACTTCTTTTGATGAGGAGGTGAGTCCAAGGGTCCAAATTGCTGCCACGCTTGGGCCAAACCAGTCCAGTCCTCCCAACCCCTGATAAGCCCCCTCCCTAGAAAAATCCTCCTCACAACCACCCACACCTTCCATGATGCGTCCTTTCCATTAGCGTCCTTTTCGTTGTTGTAATTATGCTGATTATCACTAGCGCCATGTACAAGTATTGTTCGTCCCTGGTTGGCCACCCAGTCCTACCCTGCGCCACTCCTGTTGCCACATCCGTTAGTCTCTACCCCCCCTTGGAAATGCACGTCGTCCCTCGCCAATATCTCGTGTAGCAGAAAACATCCTGTCCAACTTCAATCCGACGCTACGACGGCCACTAGCTCCGCGGGTACTCGTAATTCAAAATGAACCTCACCCTACGACACCATCGACAAGGAGCGGGCGGCAGCTCGAGTGCTACTCTCCACGTCACCATCCATGATACCAAGCCCCTGCAGTTCCCATCGCTAGTTCCCGCAGCATCGTTGTTTTATCCCTGCAAGACTGATGCGCCCGTTGGAGCCGTTCTAACCATGCACTCTGTGCCACGAGCGCCCAGACTGAGAGCCCGTTTCTATTCCGCGTCTGTAGACGCCTAACAAACCACCCATTTCAGTATACCCAGCCTTCAAATAGGCCATATGTCTTTGTTTCATCAGTACTGGAACGGCATGCGTTTCCCCAAACCTAGGACCGCAGAGCCGCCGATCACCGGAACAGAAGCGAACAACATGACGTAGAGAACTCAATGCACACAGCAGTCAGATGTTTACATGCTGGACTACGCAATATAGGCACAGTCATCAGCTCACCCCTCACGCTCAAACATCAGTCACGGCCTCACGTCACTGTCAACATGTCTCTTCCATCCACGTCACGCGCCCCTTCTGGCGCGACATCAACGTAGCCAGCAAACACACGTCGCAAACACAATCAGATAAAAAGATGATTACCAACCCATCTCCCCCACCCTTGTGCCCCTCTTCTCTCTCTCTCATACACAAACCACTTTAATCTTCGCCATGAGTATCCCCAAAGACACACCAAAGACCAATGAATCACACCCTCAGCACAACCAAACCCACCCCTCCGACACTACAAGTACTACTAAACAAGCCAATCCAACAGCCCCTTCTTTCAAGACGCATCCACAACGACGCTTCGCTACACTACATGCACCAGTCCGCATAAAGCCTGTAAGACAACCCACTGTCCCACCTGCCTCTAGCGATCTGCACTCTGGGAAAGCCCAAAACTTTATATGGCCTGGAAAAGACATTCAAGGGCAATTTAGCTTTCGCTTCAAAAATGAACATGTACATGTAGACGGTAGCCTTCAATAAGCAGCAGAGTCAATTCTCCTTCTCGTTACATTTATGCTGCCAATGGAACTTTCCGTCCAAAGAACAAGTGACTTGTAGTGTCAGCATGTCTTGCTTATGCAACATCACACATGAAAGAATGACATCAATCAAAACACGCCTTCATTTCCCAACCAAGTCTATTATACAATATCTACAAAATGTTTCATTACATCAATTTCGTGAGAGAGTGCGCCGTCTTCAATCAACACTCGCAATACCAGCGCATCCATGTCCACGACACGAGACCCACACTTGAAATAAGGCATGGTGACCCGCAAATACAAACACCGCTGCTGGGTGTGCTTTTCCAGAAAAAAAAAAGTCCAACAAAAAATGTGGCGACAGGGTATCAAAAAGTAGGTGTCGCCCAACGCCAAAAGCCATGCCAAAGCGACCATGGTTGGGAAAGAGCCTTGTGGCGAAAAAAAAGTCCACCGAAGCGGTAATCGTATACATGGTGTGATGGCCGATATCCCTCGCCGTCTACTGCGACAAGCCGCATGACATCCTGACTCATAACAAGTGGCCAAGATGATATCGACTCAGTAGCAACTCCGGTGCAAAGTTTGTCATGTACGTCATGTCGCATTGGTTGGCCTCGTAGTTTGCCATGTCCTCCATGTTTCCCATAATGGCATCGAAGTCCTCCTGCGACACATCCTCCAGCTCTTCATCGTCGCTCACATCATCGTCGACTTCCATCTCTTCAGAGCCCAACAAATCATGTTGCTCCGTGACTTGTGTCGAGGCGTCCCACTCTTCGATGTTGATTCCTGAGAAGAATGAGTCATCGTTTGCCGACTCATCCTTTGACTCCTCGTTCTTGGCATCCTCACACCCGAGTTCAAACTCGGTGACCGAGAACGTGTCCAGACTCGAGAATGCTGAACCAACTGAGGATGAAATGGAAGAAGGCATTGATGAAGGGGAACCATGGCTGGGAGAAAGCGCGTCCACCACGGCCTCAATGTCAAGGCCCAATGCTGTCATATGAGTGCCCACATAGACTCCATTCCAAGGTTTTTGTACTGAGCGAGCGTTCTGGGCGACTCCTTCGGCATCGAGGAAGAGGATACGATCTCCGTATTGACTTTTGAGATTCTGGGCAACAAGAGGGGCGAACCAAACTTGAACAAGCTGGAGACGCACAACCTTTGCTACTCCCGAGCCTAGCAGTAGTCGCAAGGCAGCCGTGACGGGGTGGTTGGATCCGAGAATCGAATCATCCACCATGGGGGTCACCAACCGAGAAAGCGTAGACTGTATGGCAATGTGAATGTCTTCGAAGTTTGCGCCGACCGTTGCTAGCGATGCGATCGTGTTGGCTAGTCTTTGATGCGTGGACGAGTTCGCTTCTGATACCATGGCGGCGATTTTCAGCTGGCGAAGAAACCGAAGATATCTGTCGGCAATGGGAGGGAGGATGGTGGCGGTTTCAGTTTTGGGGGACATCGGATCGATGGTTATCTGGTTGTGTTGGTAGAAGTAGGACGTGGTTTCGTGATGAAGTTGCTTGGAAACGGCGAACAGTGACAGATGATTGCCGTTGCTGAAGCGCTCAAGAGAGATGTGAGCTTGGGACTTGAGGAGGAGCTCTCCGTAGATGACGTTGCGCAGCTCGGCGGGAATATCGCTGAATTGCGCCATAATGGCCGAGAACGACGGGCAAAGTGGACGGTATTTACGAGAAACCAGGCATACAAACACTGGGCGAAAGGGTGAGTGGTGGTGCTAAGGGTAAGTGTAGGTTTTAAGTGGCGTGGAGTGGGGACCAGGTGGACAGCACACGACCAGGGTGAGAGGGCAAGCTAGCGTCAGGAACACCAAGAAATTGGCAGCAAAGGGCCGCGGCGGGGCGGTAAGTTGAATGTTGTCTTACGTCAGATGGCGTCGGGACTGGTTTGATGGTGTAGGCTGAACAGTTGTTGTGTGCGTTGCAGCCGTGGCGGGGAGAGGGGGTGGTGGGAAAGATGCAAGAGAGAGAGAGAGAGAGAGAGAGCGAAGGAGAGCGAGTGCGAGAGAAAGACGTAGGGCATCGAGTGCCTGAGCGGCCGTGGTTCCGAAGTTTGATCCGCGTTAGCGTGTCCACGTGAATAGTAATTTCGCGCATATGCGCAGCATTCAAGGGGAAGTATCATGGCCCAGCCGCCAGTCCCATGGAACGGGGCCTCTATATGTATATTATTTGCGCGCACCCATCATGCTGCTTCGCGCAGGTGCAGTCTCGGTGCGACTCGGTCGTAACAGCGCGGCCTCTGCGATGGCATGATGCACTGGCGAGAGGGCGAGAGGGTTGCGGGGCGTCCAGGGCACCATGGCCATCTGACAGTCTTGTCCGGTAGCCTCGCTCTTGTCTGCTACCGCCATGGGTAGTCCAACAGGGTGCCTTCGCAGCGACGAGTTGCTGCGACCTGGCCTGGACGCGAGGCTGGCAGCCAGCGTGCATGCCTGACCACGGCTGTGGTCCCGCCCTCACGTCAGGGAAAAGGAAGCCTCGTCGTGGCTGGCTGTACGAACCCCTGACGGCCTGGCTGCATCCGAAATCGCTCCGCGCATCCTCCCACGACGGAGTGTATTAGTGACTGCTCATCTGCTGTGCCAGATGACGTCGACCATGCCCGCAGGCCAGCCACCAGCAAGCGCATGTTGACCATGTCTTTCCGCAGCGACATGCTAACGAGTGGCACCTGGACACCAGCGTGACGAAACACGTCACCCGATCAGCTGCACGTGACGCGAACGTATTCGGAGGGGTGCTTGGGGGGCATTGGGTTGTGGCTGCGGAGGGGAAGACAAGCATGTCCCAAGGGGTCGCGATTGGAAGCAGGAGGAGGAGCAAAGCAGCCATGGACCGGCTTGCTGGGTGACGTTTGCCGGACCCAAGGTTATTCCGGCGCTAAGTAGGGCAATCGATACCACACCCTCTTGTTTGCACACCGTCTCTGCACGTTCCTCGATCCACCGCCCTGCCGCCTCATTTGGCGTTTCTGGTAATGTTCCATGGCCAGCCGTATGTGTGTCTTCGTGTGGGTCTTCTGCGCATGCCATCGGAGTTTCGTCCCTCATCATCTCGTGTGCTCCAAGCAAGTGCCGCTGGTGCAAGTACTGATGGTGCACTGTCAAGAATCCCGCCCGGGCAACACACTCAACAAACCATCTCCCGGCTTGAACCTGGCGCACTCGAATAAAGCCGTCTTCACCGCGTATAGTCATAACCGGGCTTGGATATCGTCGACATTCTGCCGCTTACCTCGGGGTTGGCAGGGAAGACCCACGTAGGGCATTTGCCGGTGCCGATGTGTCGCCTGATTTTCTACAAACAAGACTGGCACTTTTCTCAACCCCGACTGGAAAGCTGCACCGAAACCGCTCGCGATAGATAAGCGGCACTGCATGTTGCTTTTTCCACCTTGGACAGGGCCGATGCAAGAGCATTGGTACATATCGTAGTCACAAACCCCGACATCGTAGATGCAACGCAAGACATACAATTTCCGAGCAAAGCGATAAGTTGAGACTCAGAGACGGCGCGTTGCAGGTAACACACACCCAGCATCACCAGCCAGAAAGCTTGGTTGCGCCCGACTACGGCGCGTGGTACATATCCTTTTTATTTGTGTTAGCAACAACAGCGTTGGCATTGGTACAAGGCCACCAACACTGGGACTTTGCGGAACTGATGACGTCCTTCTCGGTACCATAGACTTAAGACGGAGAGTGGAGGTCAGTCAGGATTTTTTTCATGCTACAGTCCACTTGTACAAGGATGCCGCTGCTGCTTCAGGCTTCTAGTGCATCTGGCATGAAGCTGCGTTGATTCGGGTATAAAGCTTGCTTCAAGCTGCCATGTGCTGATCTGAGCAGTGGCAACTCCTGTCGACATAGGAAGCAATCTGGACATACGTCGCAAGCTGTATTCGTTTATGTTACGATATATCGCATACATGCCACGGCTCCACTGCATTACGGACAGCCAAGTCTTGGTATGTATGGCTGCAAGGCACAACCCCCGGAAAGCGGAATTGCGAACGTGGTGTCACATATACTCGAAGAAAATATTATTTGAAATCATGCAGTGGTATCTGCTTTGTTCTTGATCCCCACTCAATCATCAGACGACATCAGGCCAGTGTCACGCCGGCTAGCAGAGCCACAACAATGGCTAGTGTACCAAAGCCTGTATTTGACAGATGACCATTCGCCTTCGATGGAGGAAAGTCGGATTCCGGATCGCGACTCCCTTCGACAATTTTGTTCGGAGCCAGACAGATGACTCTTGTGTCGAAAAAGCCATTCCCGTCTCGTATGGTAAGGGCCATTGGAACCGTTTGCCGGACGTGTAAATCATACAAGTCGAAATTATCGTAGTCGTCACCTCCTTCCGCTATGCCCCCAACAGGAAGGTCACCGAAGCTTGTGTAGTTGTCTGGTAAATCGACGTGAGGGAGACTGCCCAATGCGCACTTTGTTCTTGAAAAGGTTGATGGTCTTGCTATACCATGGAAATAGCGTCAGAAATAGCATGTATCGGATATCGGCATACACTTACACATGCCCAAGTATCCGTCGACCGAACAAGCTTTTTTGTAATCATCAGGAACATGACACTGGTCATCTGAAAAATCAGGTGTGGAGTATTGTAGCGCAATGCGGCACTCTTCGCTGATAATACCGCTGCAGCTGCCTGTCTCCCCGTCCGCAACAGCGTTTTGAGCTGGAAGTCTGTAGAGACAGTAGCTCGTATCTTCACCTCTTTCGCTTTCAGCAAACGATTCGGGCACACTGAGAAACCCGCTTCTTTCTTGAAACGTCTTGCCAGGGCCCCATGAATAGCCAGGATCGCGTCGATCGGTTATCATCAGGCTGAGATACCACGGTTCCCAGAAATTTGAGTGGTTCACAGCAACAGTGTTGGTGCTGTTGATGGGTCGCCTCTGCTCGAGGAAGCTGTCAATCTCAGACCCACAGTCACTTGACGTTGAGTTGTCAGCACTCTGTGTTAAGCAGGGACCGAAAAAATAAACAGGTATTATGGAAAGAAAAGCAATTTTGGTATTTGTGTGCATCGTGCTTGGGGTCGGACGGTGATGCAGTCGCTCTGAGGGATCGGATAGAATATTGGTTTAGGAAGCGATTTGTACAAAGACGAGTTGAACAGCACATCAACCTCTTTGCTCATCAACGAGGCGCCTGATGACGATATGGCTTGAGACATGTCTTGGGCTTGGGGTATGCTAGGATCAATTGTGGGCCGGGAGGATCACCCGTCGGCTGGACGGCTCATGGGGGATGCCGTGCAGCCGGCACCTAGGTAGTGGTAGTGTCCCATGTTACCCAGGCCTGTTTGTGCGCCACGACGGGCACAGCCGCAAGCGCATCTGCACCTCTGATGATCTGCAGCATCCTTATTTTTGAATTATGTTACCCTGATGATCGTTTGTACCTCGTGGTATAGCTGAATTCCAAAACGCCCTCTATGTAGAGAAACGCATCGCCATCACCATGTGACCCAAGTGGAAAATGTGCCAAGTAAGCTGCCTAGCTATGTAGCACCTTGGCCATCTACCATCACGGTACTCACAGTCTTGGGACCCCAGATGATAGACAGTGGGCCTTAAAATCTGTGGGCCAAGGATTGCTTGGAACATGCAAATCCTTCGGCTTCAGCCGAAGCGATGCGATTGAATCGTGTCTGCCCATCTTCGACGTCGGCAGTCTCTAGCTACGAAGAGCTATTCAAACTAAGCATGTGACTGAGGGTGTTATTTTCCTAATTTATGCTTCAAAGGGCGTTTTGGGAGTGTTAATTTATGCCATGAGAGTTTGGTTCTCTCCGAGTGAGGATCATAAGACTAGGGCTATCCTCTCAGGAACAGCAACCGATGAACGTGGGTGATCCTTTCAAATGTCTGTCTCATATACAACAATACATCCCGATGTATATTGTCTGAAAGAAAAAGCCACTGACATCTCCAATACGAGCGCCGAGTCTAGTAGGGCCACCACCCCCCCACATTAACACGATGCCGCCACAACCGGATACTACGAGAGATCGATTCCGACAGACACACCAAACGAAGACTTGCTAAGTGACCGAGAAGGATTGAAGCTGCCCAGAAGATGGCTGTAGAAAGGGAGAAACAGCCAAGTGCTCGTTGTACAAGAGAAGAGCATAAATAGGGGCACAATCTCTTGCAGAATATTGAACCCAGCCATCCTTGAGTTCACAGCTCAGCACCCAAGACACAATCCGTAGCTAGAAGCGGTCTTAATCATGCATTCAAAGCCCTCTTCCATCTTCGCTTTTGGCGCTTTGGCATGAACCTTGGCTGCGGCAGCGCCCTCGCAACTTGAAACTCGTCAGTGGGATGGTACTCGTCCAGGCGGAGAGGTAGAATGCGAATTCCGACTGCTTCCAAACTGGGCAGATTGTAAGCATTATCTCATTGGTTCAATGGGCCCGTATTGAATGAACAGACCCTGGCTGACAATGTTTGCTTTAATCAGGCGACACCATTATGGATGGTAACACGTACTTTGGCAACGGCCCTACGACGGAAGTGTGCGTCTTCGCGGGTGCATGCCGCGTGTGGACCCAAGGCAATTGTCGTATTTCATTCTGCAACAACGAGCAATACGACTCGTGCGACGTCAACAACACCTGGGGTGACCGAGCCCGCGCTATTGAGTCAAGGTGCCGGCCAGTGGACCAGGGTGGTTTTCAGTCCAAGCCTGCGCCGCAAGACTGGACCGAAGTGGCCATTCGTCTCAACACTGATTGGCGTGTCAGCCCCAAACTCGCGCCAGGCGAGATAGATTATGAGGACATGTCGGTCGAGGAGAATGCTGCCGAGCTTCGCCGGCTCGACCTCATCGAAGAGGCTCTGAGTTCTGGTACCGATGCGGCCAATCTGGAAGAACGTGAAGTGCATTCATTAAAGAAGAAGGTATGTCCAATCCACTCCTTGGAGTTGAAGCCATAGCACTCGCCACCGTGCAGCTCCAACTAACCGCTCTTTGCGTACAGCAAGACGATGAATTCATTATCGAGGCCACCTACAGGGGCACATACCGACCCGGATCAGCTGTTTTCGTGATCTCAACCAACGCACAGGACTCATACACTGTTACCGAATCCAAGACCACCACCATTGGTGTTAGCACTTCCGTCAGCGTCGGTGCATCTTTCTGGGACCTGATTACTGCAGAAATCGGCGTTACCGTCAGCACCGAGTACTCCCTAACGAGCTCGACATCCATTCAGGTCAACATTGACTGCGAGGATGGCCAGCGAGCCTTCATCTATTGGAGGCCTTTCTTCGACCGTTACGATGGCAGATTCCGATCAAATGGACAGACCGTTACTGTCTGGGTCCCCAAGGATACCCAGTCTTCTCGCATGAACTACGACTACCAGTGCGCTGGTTAGATTTATTTCCCCATGGTATTCTAGCCCCCAAGGGGATGGCGGCATGGTAAAGAATAGTAAGGATTGATGCATTTTCCGTTTCTAGTAGATGCACTTATTCAACATAATTGTATTCCAAGAATCCTTAGTAATCTAGTAAATGGAACCACGATTTCTTTCCAGTAAATATAATGTATATGTCGAGAAGCAAAGACCCAGATTAGTAGTTTCCTTCTCTAACCTAAAGTGATGCTGTGATGGAGTGTGCTGGGTGCTTAAGGGAAAATAAACAGGTAGCATCCTAGCAGAGCTTGGAGCAATGATAGGCCAAGGGCCTTGGTAACTTGTTAATTGAGATCAAATGAGATGCTTAGCCTCAGTGTAACACCGATTTAGCTAGGTCATAGTCTGCCCATTGTCTCTCAGTCATCCAATGATAAGTATTTATCTAGAAAGGTTTTCTTGGGGTCTTTAAAATTCCAAGCAGGCAAGGGAGATGTGTATCTCAATAAAAAGCAGTATTACGAATAACCATTACGTCGTAGTTTTTGGTTTTTCAACCCGACATGACGATAACAACGGGCCTAGAATAATGTTCTCCACAAAAACTCTAGTCTTCTCCAAGACTGGAAATACCTAAAGAACAAGTCTTATCAAAAGGTTAGCCAAACGCTCAGGTTGCTCAATCGCCAACGAATGGCCGCACTCAAAAACCTCTGCAATCTCGCCCTTTTCTGCAATAGACTTCATCTGCTGTTCTACACGGAGACCAAAGAACCTATACGACATCAGCATCAGACCTATGTCGGTACATACGCTCCTATGCTTATCAGCCACATGTCACACGTACTCCAATGCCCCAACCGTCATGACTTTGCACTTTAACTTTCCTTTACTCAAAATCTCCTCTTCAATCTCCAAATTCGCCCAATGGCTGCGATAGCTTTCTAGTATACCTCTTGTTCCGCCGGGGGCCTTTGCACACCGTACCCACTCATCAATGGCGAGCTGGTCGAGCGCAGAAGGATTGTAACACTCTGCCTTCATAAAATGGGTCCAGAATTCCTCTTCCTTTCCCTGAATCAACATTTCCGGAACATGCGGCATCCAGAAGAAAGGAATATGCCAGTTCCAAACGCCCGTCTGATTGTACTGTGCTGCAATATTGTCGCGGGTGAAAAAGGAGGCCTGCGTTAGTCCGGCTGACAGGAGCATTTCACAAAAGGAAAGATGAGTGACGCGCTCGGGGTAGAGCCCCGCAAGGCAGAAAGCATGTGTTGCGCCGCGGTCTTCGCCATGGACGGCAAATGTCTTGTATTCGAGCGCATCCATGAGCGCAATCATGTCTTTGGCGTTTGTGCGGCCATCGTAGCCCTCGCTTGCAGGGGGTTTGTCGGTCGCGCCGAAACAGCGCAGATCGGGGGCCACAATCGCAAAGTGAGGCGTCAGCAGTGGGAGGATCCGATACCAGTAGTAGTGTGTTTTGGGTGTGCCGTGAAGTAACAGTAAAGCTGGTCCCGATCCCGCGGTAATGTAATGTAGGCGAATACCGTTCACCCGTGCCATGTGGTGCTGCACGGGCTTGCCATCGTGGTCGTATAACTCGGGCATTGCGCAAAGGTGCAATGGGAATTTCGGCGCATAGGTAAAATGACCCGAGCATATAGCAACAGGAAAGTTTCCTCCAGGGGTATCTTGAAGGTGGGTGATGCGGCCCCGCAGTAGACGTCATTGGATCGAGCGTAAATCGATGGTCCGGAGATTTCCCCGCACTACGTAGGTAAGTATTCGAAGTTCCATGACACCTAGGGTTAGACACGCATCGAGTAGACTGTGGAAAAGCAAAAAGAAAATCCCTTGAGGCGATTTACGAAGTTCGGACATGAGTAACCAAGTCTCAGAAAAACCACCGATACGTACTGTCGGGCTTGGCAAACTCGCAATGACTGCTTACTTTGATTGACATATGCTGTATTACCCGCAGTTACACAACATCATCCCTCTTTCTTCTCGTGCCCAACTCATGAATCAGGGATAGCAGCAATTGCCTCGACCTCGATGAGAAAATTTCCTGGAAGCTTTCCGACCTCGACAGCAGTGCGAGCAGGCTTAGGACTGGGAAGCATGGCAGCATACACCTCGTTCATGGCAGAGTAGTCGGACATGTTGGCAAGGAAAACGGTCGTCTTCATGACATAATCCCACGATGTACCGGCCTCTTCAAGCACGGCCGCGATGTTCTTGATGACTTGGGCCTACTGCATGTAAGCCACAGTCTAAGAGATGAAGGCAAATATGTGGTTTACGTACTGTTTGGGCCTCAATACCCCCAGAAACGATTGTTCCGTTGCGTGAGGGCACGGTTCCCGAAGTGTATACTATTCCCTTGGATGTCCAGGCACCGCTTGCTGAGAAGAGATCAATAGCTGAAAGGGCATAGGGAGGTGCGTATCATACATAGAATTGGTCCTTGCGTGCCAAGGTAGGTCACTACCGGCTGCTCAGTGAGCTTGGGTGTTGGTTTGGCAATGGCAGCACTAGTTACCACCAACAAGGTAGTGATGAGAGAGCTGAAGGAGACCATGATTATGTTTGTATTTTCGATTTTTCTCTGGTGCAAATGGAGAACCGGTCGATATGGATTGTTGCTTCAAGGTACTCGAGACCTGCCTCGCTAGCCGATGATTATATACATTTCGACCATGTAGCATTCTACCACCTAGTCAATGCTAAGCTTTGAGTCCAAGTCGGATTTCGGTATTGAACCGAATGCCATGGCTTCCAAGAGCTGTGAGTCTTCGTATACGGGCTGAGATGTTTTGCCAATCTTGGTACGGTGTACAGTCGATATCGAGGGATTCTAGGCATACCGGATATTCTGAGTTTATGAACAGATACCGCCCATTTCTCTCGTAATTGATTGTGGTACGCCGCCGGCCCAAGGCCCGGGAAACCTCATCGGCCGCCATGTGTGTTTGGTAGTAATCAGATGGACAGGGCTGTGTGGGTCGATTGGTCCAGTTCCCGTGGGGCCATGCAAAACTGGAGATACCCAGCAAGTATCCAGAAAGGAAGGAGGCTACAATTCGTCGCGGTGTGGAGGAGGACATGATAGACTATGACGAGAGGAGCGTAGACGATGCACTGTCTCTGGGCGCCAAGACATTTTGCCCATGTACCGCGCGTGTATCACGCGTATTAGAAAGCAAGGGGTGGTTTTGACGTAAGTCGAGATAAAGGCTGGCTGGAGGTGAGATAAGAAGCAATCCTTTGGGCCACACAGGTTGGTTTATCGATATCGCTAGACTCCACTGGTGGATCATCGTGGCTTGCGGGTCGGCTTGTGATTCGCCGCTGTGGGCTCCAACTCACTCTCCCATTCTTGAACGCCTAACCGTCGACCAGCGAACTTTTTTTTGCACAACTTTCGTCTTACTATCTTTGCCGCGGCTCTTGAGATTCCCGGACTAGCTTAAGCGCAGGCGAGCGGGTTTAGGCAGACTCCGATGCCGAGGCGCAACGCCCGAACGTGGTGTATGCCTTCCGGGAGAGTGGTAATACTACAAATCTCTGAGCATTGTTCTCAGGAGCAAGTATTCTAAACACCTAGAGAAGCTGAGATGGTATCTGATGCTACAGTGCTGCAAAATTTCTGGCATGTTTTGAGTATGGTTGACAGCTGTCATCGTTGCAACTGAACTGATGTAGTATCTTGAGGTCGTATGGATTCACCGCGGTACCCGTATATCCAACCGTCTCAATGTCACCCGATGCTCCGTCGGAACAGTACCGACAGCCCGATTCGTTATCTTTCGGAGAGTAAAGGGGCTTCGTCCCTAAGTGCCGATCGCCTGGACAAGATGCGTCTCCACACTAATGCCTGTCATACGTTACGCTACTGCATCTCGCTTCAAGAACGTGGTGCGGGTCATCTATAACGGGCATCTCGACGCGTGGGAAACCCCATCCTGCAAGAATAATCATCAGAATTCACGGCTGACAACATCCTATGGTCCTTATCGCAGTTGTGCAAGTCAATATTCTTAGTAGCCAATGTACGGTCGGCGACTTTGCCAATATGTCCCGGTGGTCGCTGGCACGCCCTACAACGATAAGGTATTTGTGACCAATGTGAATGTAAAACTAGTGTGTTTTTGGGAACAGCGACGTGCTGCAGAAGTCCATTAAGAAATGTATTTGAAGGACGGGTATTTCCTTGTCTGAAAGATATTCTTCCGACATCTCCATATTACTTCAAAGCCAAGATGAAGGGTCTCATCACAGCCTCTTCGGCAGCCTTGTCCTTGGCAGGTGGCGCCATTGCCAGTCCTGTCACTCCTCGTTCAGACATTCTTTTCTTCAAACCCCTACAGGTCAAATCCGACTCGGTACACAACGTTCATGTTAATTTTGGCGATGACGACTTTGAAGGCGAAGTCCGCTTGGTCTACGGCGAGTGCGGGATGAAAAGCCACGGAGAGAGACATCACGATGTCGCCTCACACTACATCAAACGATCAACTCGTCCTGAACGTTTTGTTTGGATTGTACCGGAAGATGCCGCCCATGGAGGATGTCTTCACGCCTATTCGGGATCCACACTCATTGGACGTTCAGCCCCAATTCACGTCACCAGAGATGTCAACAATCAAGCTCATCAAGCCGAGCTAACTTGATACAGTAATAGGCTAGCTTTTTTAGGCCTAATCATTACTATATCGCGTTAGCTCGGCTTGATGAGCTTGATTGTTGACATCTCTGCACGTCACACATCAACCAAAGAAGAGGGAGGATATCTCTGAGGTGGCTGATGCTATGGGTCCTTGGTTCGATGGCGTAGCCTATCTGAAGAGCAAGCAAAACAATGCTTCCTATGTCGCCGTCGAGAAGAGCAAGCGAATTGCTATAGTCGGAGGAGGCATGTCCGGGTTGATGACCAGTCATCTGCTTGATTCAGTTGGCATCCATGACTGGCACATTATCGAATCTTCCCAGCGGATCGGAGGCCGTATACGAACAAAGTACCTCGGCGGAAGCACTCCCGATCAGTACCAATACCAAGAGATGGGTCCTATGCGCTTCCCAGTATCGACCCGTTACCCAGAAACAAACGAGACTCTGGATATTCAGGACCACAAGATGGTTTTCCAGCTCGGAGCGACTTTGACCGAGATGAACGGCGGTCCCAGCAGCGATCTTGCCGTAAACTTCATTCCTTGGATCCAATCGAGCCCGAACGTGCCGGCCAACTCGAATGGTTACCGTCTTCCCAACGGACGCATTCCCAGCGCTGCACAGATTAAGAGTAACCAGACCGCATACACATTGCCAAAAGCCCCAGGCCCAGACGAGGAGGCTGTTGAGCATGCCACTGAAGAGCTGGACGAATTCGTGGGAACAACACCAGAGGTTGTGCGTGAGATGCACAACAATGTCTTCCTAGCCCACAAACACGCCGTAGAGAAGGGCCTGTTCCACTGGTCTGAGGCTGCGTATGTCCGATATGCGCTGAACCAGAGTGCTGATGTAACTGACTACGTTACCGGCAACGATGACACTCCAATCTGGGAGTACGATACTGCTTACTTTGGCGCCACAACATGGCGAACCATCGATAAGGGTCTCGAGTCACTTCCTCGCGCTTTTTACCCCCATGTCCAGGACCGGCTGACTCTTGACCGCAAGGTCACTGGCTTGAAGTATGACGAGAATACTGACAAGATTTCCGTTCAGTGGCGCAAGGACCCCTTTGCGATGAAGCCAGAGAGTGAGGAATATGATTACGCCGTCGTGGCCGTTCCTTTCTCTAAGGTCCGGATCTGGGACCTTCCCCAATACTCATCGCTCTTGTCTCGTGCTATCAACGAGATGAACTACCAGCAGTCGTGCAAGGTCTCTCTACGCTACAAGACACGCTTCTGGGAGAAGCTTTCGCCTCCCATCATCGGTGGATGTGGTTCGGTCGATATTTCGGGCATTGGCAGCGTCTGCTACCCTTCGTACCAGATCAACTCGACTGGTCCTGGTGTGATTTTGGGCTCGTACGTCTCTGGCACTCTTGCCCGCTCTGTAGCCGCACTTAGTGAGGAGGACCACGTCGCTATGGTGCAACGCGCGATGGTTGAGATTCACGGTGACGTAGCCGACGAACAGTTCACTGGCGCATACGAGCGTCAATGCTGGGAACTTGACGAGCACCAGGCTGGTGCCTGGGCTTCGCCTACTATTGGCCAACAAGACCTTTTCCTGCCCGCCTATTACAAGACCGAGTTCAAGTCCATTTTCGTTGGTAATTACAAATGTGTTTCTTTTGAGATGAGCGCTGGCTAATGTCTTTCAGGTGAGCACACGAGCTACACACACGCTTGGATCTTCTCAGCTCTCGACTCTGCTGTGCGCGGCACTTCTCAGCTTCTCTTGGATATGGGCCTGGTGGATGAGGCAAAGCAAATCGTCGATACTTGGATGGGACGATGGATCTCCATCTAAACTCTACCTAACACGAAGATTATATGATTGAACGTTAAAAAGAAAGTTTATCTATATTTAGAATCAAATGATACATCTAATTAATGACCTCCTCTTCTGTATCTAATCTTGGATGCTGTATTCTACTTGAGATAGGATTGTTTCTACATCTGGTTTCAAGATAGACCTGGAACATTAGTAGCCGGTTATGACATAGAAGGTAACTATCTGGGCCCTTAAAACCTCCCTTTTGTCACATAATAGCTGTAATTTTTGAGTTGTATGTAATCTTCTAGCGTTAAGTATGACACAATCATGTGACTAAAACCAGAGGCTAGATCCCCGTCTCTTCCGAACACAGCCTGGACCAATGCCTTTTCCGAGCCGATCCTTCTTTTCGTTGGCAACTTGTTTAAGTCTAGCTGCCACCCAAGCCACGGGCGCGTGGCTGAACTCTAACCAGAAACGGGCTCAAGAACCGAGATGGAGACAGACTAACGCAATAGGCCTTGAACACGACACTGTTTCTTTGCCCGTTTTGAACACGCAGCCTGAATACAGTAAGCAGCACGAACGAATGGAGCAAAATCTGAACTAATTCTGACTAGCGCTCACATAAGGTGCTACTATACGAAGGCGCTCGTCCTTAATAAGGAACATATAGCCTCTCCATTTTGGATACCCCTCAGTAATACCACACAACAACACTGTTGAGAGATACCATCACTGACTAAAATATAGCACTTTCTTTTTCTCACAAAGAAAGTCTACATTTATAGGATGTTCAAGAATCTGGCAGGTGGTAATATAGTTGTAAAATTGGTTCCAGGTTTTGGAGGGCGTTCTGATACTTGGTGTGCGCGCCACGGTGTTTCTCACTAAAAACGAGGTCCTTTCTAGGTACGCCACAATGTTATAACCCATCATACAATAAATGCTAAGCCGATAATATAGATTTCATAACATGTTCAAATATATGTCATGACTTGGGCTTATCAAGATTGGTCCAAAAGATAATCAGCTAGTTATTAGCCTGCGCCACAATTTTTGCCGAGCTGATGAGAGGAGGCTGAACATCTCCATGGGGCGTTATTCACCTTAATCTGCACGCATACTCTATGGCTAAGACAGAGGCCTTGATTGCTACGTAAAAAGCTTTCCCCCTCTTTGTCGTGGCACACTACACGACCCAAAGCAAGAGCAGCAAAGTGGTAGTGACCTCAGGTCTCTGGACTAAGTACATGTCCTCTGCCGAAGCGTCATACCTCATTAGAAGATAAAATCCCATTCTAGTAGTCACGAGTCGCTCTGCACGTCTAACAGGGATTCTAAAATATCGTATACTGAGTTATTACTTGTGTGTCGTTCGGTATGTCAGTGTCTATCCTAGTTATATAGCACTTATCACTCACATATGGGCCTATCAGAGCCAATGAAAGATGTCCTGGTTTCGCCACCAAAATAAATCCAGTCGTATAGTGTTACTATCATTTACGCCAAGTGCTACGATAGATACTCCGCGATGTTCCAGCCTCTCGTCCCACGCCTGTAAAGCTGACAGCAGAAAGTTTACAGCACATCCACTAGCATGATATGGGCAAAATCCATCGCAACTTAGTATGAAGCAAAATTTTATGCAAGAACCAGATGATATTTAGCTTCACCACTGCACAGCCTTGCTAAGAGGTGAAATCACTGTTGCGCCTGTATTTTCTGTATATTAGTAGACAGAATAGCTAAGGAGATATCTCAATGATGTTCAATAGTGTATGTCTATCAAGCTATGAGTTCTCACTATGCCTTGTGATACTTGTTCTGCTTATGAGACCGTCCCTCAAACTTCTTCAATCTAATCCTTTGTGGGTCTAACACGTCATAAACAGCCGAAGAAACAAGACTGAACACGAACAAGCTAGAAATAAAGAGCTAAGGGGCATTTTGGGTATAACGCGTCTCAGTAGAAGTAAGTATAAATATGTAGTGCAGGTATGCTACAAACCTCCATCATCTGCAAGTAATTCTCAAATCAACAACAGTTCTCAAGTCAACAGACAATTCTCAATTCACGATTCAACTATGAAGACATTTGTTTTTACTTTCTTCTGCCTCGGCGCTGCTCTTGTGGCTGCCAATCCTCTTCCCCAAAACAACAATAACAATGGTACAAGTTCTACCAGCGATGCTTTATGTGGAGAACTCTATGGTTAGTGAAGCATATGAGGAGAATTTCAAACCATCCCTTAAACTCACCATTTACCAGACGCCTGTGAGATTGGATCCTCTCAAGATGGATGCTGCCCGGGCTTCGAATGTGCCAAGTACCTCTGTGGCATTTTCGAAACCTGCACTCACTGCATTCATGAATTCAAATGTAAGTAAGCGAGGCGTTGCTTCGAGTTCTTGGTGATAGAAATTCTTCTCACATCTGTCTAGGATCAATAATGCAAGGCCTCTAGTGTTCTAGGTGCCTGAGGTTTGGTGCCGAAGAAGCTTCCTCTGGAATTTCGTAGCATCACTTTAATTGTCATGATTTATTTTTCCGCGCGAGATGCTTCCGGGAATAGAAGAGACAAAAAGCAGATTGATACCTTTTAGCTAGTAATGGACGAACTGTTATTCTCTCACTGCGACGTCTTGAGTACTACTCGTATGATACCTACTAGCCATTTGTGAAACCGACAGGCGGCAGGAATTTGCCAAGTCTGTCGATGTGAGCCTCAACACCAGAATCGGCTTTTGTGATCGTACTATACCTTCTTTTGAGCCATCGAGGCCATAGCACAGAGTGGGTAATGATGTCGTCCGTGCGCCTTTCTCCCCACCAAAGGCCATACGGTATTACCTCTCAACATAGCGGCAATTTTTGAGAAGCTTCATGCATACAGCTAAGCACTTCCTAGCACGTTAATTTAAAGCACTTCGATTTGTAGTGCTGTAATCTACGAGTCCACGATTTAGATAGATCTGCTAAGCTTGATGGAGGAAGCGCACGGGCTAGAACACTCCTCGCTAAATGAGCCCTTTTGTACAAGTGCACAAGGGCCAAGTAGCCGCAGTCGGCCGCGCGTCTTGCTGGTAGGGAAACTCTGGCGAGGACACGGGGTGAGCGGCTCCATGGGCCGCTCCATGACGCGTGAGGACGATGGCGAGATATGGGGATTTCGGGACATAGAGTACTGTATCGCAGGCAATGTGAAACACCAGGACGAGCGCCAAGCCGGAGGTCTATTTTGGGATAGCGCAATGCATCTGGCGTGCATGACATCTGTGGGGAGGTGGAGAAGGCGGCCCGAATTGGCCTAGCGCAAAAGGGTCCCGTTGGCTAGACCAAACAGCTGGGGGAGCTTCCTCGACATCTCATCATCACCACTTGTATCCTTCAGCGCGGCCGCCTACGTTGCTTCTGCCCTAAACACGTGCTGCCTTTTGTCTCTTTGTTCTTTTCGAGTGCCCCTCTTACGCTGAGCTAGAGTCTGCCGTCGCCATGCCGGGGGTTCGTAAGTACAATGCCCATTCACCTTCGCCCTCCCCGTGACACGTACGTCGCCGTCACCTCCGCTTACGACTGCCCTCTTCCGTTTGTCGCGACTGTCTATTTGGACGCGCCCTCTGTCATCCCCAGACGCCCATCTCACCCAAAACCATCCACTGCCCACACTACTCTGCGCATTCATTCCTCTTGCCCCCAGACGCGCTCTCTGACGAACTGCTACCCCAGCGCTTGACGCCATGGACCAGATGAAGAAGGCCATCAAGGGCATCTTTAGAGGCAAGAAGTCTAAGAAGGAGGGGGCCAAGGCAGACGAGTCCAAGCCGGCAGCCAGCTCAGAGGCTGCCACCCCCTCCAGCGCCAACACCAAGCCCACCGAAACGACGCCCGCAGCACCCGCGCCTGCGGCTGAGCCTGCGAAGACAGAGACTGCCCCAGCCGAACTAGCTCAGCCTCCTGAGCCCGCTGCCGCTCCCGCCCTTGCTCCTGCTGCTGCTCCCGCTGCTGCTCCAGCTGAGAGCGAGACCGCCAAGGACGAAGCCGCTGCGTTGACTGAGGTCAAGAAGGCCACTCAGAGTAGGTCAACATCTCGTTCACTCTCCCGCCCACAACAGTACCGCGATAAAGATGCCTGGAGCGGATCCAGGCGACGACTCAAGGTCGCCCTGGAAAACAAGTGGAATGATCCCATCTAGGCGCCAAACTACTCCCTGCGAGACATGCGCCGCACCATACCCACTGGAAGCACCAGCATCACGCCCTGCTTACGATGTTATGCCCGACACGATCCTTCTTCCCTTCCGACTTTTATCAATCTCTTTTGTCAACAATGATACCCATGGACTAACGAACTTCTTTCAGCACCAGAGCCCGCCGGCGCCGTCGCGCCCGTCCCCCCTACCGCTGCTGAAGCTCAGCCCGCAGCCGCAGAGACTATAAAGGAGACCGAGGCCAAGCCCGCCGATGCGCCTGCACCAGCTGCACCCTTGAATCTACCAGAAATCCCCAACAGCCAGCCTGCTGCTGGTATGAGCGCTACCAGTGGTCCCATGTTTGATGAACCCAACTTTCAAGAGAAGTCCGCTCCCGCCGCCGCTGCCGCTGCCCCGACTGCTGCAGTCGCTGCACCTAGCGCCGAGCCCGCTGCTACTGCTACCCCAGTTAGCGAAGCTGAAAAGCCTGCCGCTCCTGCGCCTAGCTCTGAGCCCACTGCTCCTGCTGCCTCAGAAGAAAAGGCAGATAAATAAATGCGATACGAGTCGGCTGCGAGGGTGGATTGGATGGGTGGAGGCGCAGTTTGGGCAGGCGTTTGTTTTGCGGAAATTGATCAATCAATTTTGAAAATAACCAAAAAAAAATTGTTTTGAATATCCGCGGGAGAAGGGTAGCTGCGTTGGAGTTTGCTTGCCAGCATTGTCTTTTTTCAATTAATACTATACCCCCCTTACGGAGCGTGTTTGGGCTTTCATAAGCCAGGCTTTCGGAAATGAACAATTTCATGTTTACTCTTGTTCATGTCTTGAGCGTGCGCATAGCTGAAAATGTGTCTATGATTTGAGAGGCAGGGCGGATGATGAAGGACGACTCAGATGTACCATGATCTTGCTGACTACGTAGCGCGGGGCAAATGGAACGGCTCAACGCTGCCCCACCACCGACGTCAACCAAGGGTACGCGATAATTCTCGCCAACCAGGAAAGCTGGAAAGCTCCACGACACTAACCTTCACGTACCAAAAGCTCCCTGAAACGCTGTCGCGACTTGTGGAAACGTGTTTTTGCGCTCTTTGACCTCATACAAGCTGCGATGCCACCCAAGAGCGGCTTTTCACGCACGCGCAACGTGGATTACGACGATGACGACCTATACGATGACGACGAATATTATGAAGACGACGGTGGGGATGTCGGCGCTGATGATGGCATGTCAGCAGAAGACAAGGAACAGATGCGCGTCGGCACGATAAGGGTGCGCGAAGCAATGGGAGACCTGGGCGACTTCACAAGCGACGAGCAAATACAGGAAGCCTTATGGCACTACTACTATGACGTCGGCAAGAGCGTGAGCTATCTGAAGAACAAGCTGGGGATTGCGGAGCCCAAGAAGGAAGCCCCGAAGCAAGAGAAGGCCAAACCAACATCGCGATTCGATCAAGCCGCCAACGTCGCTAACCAGAATGCGCCGGTACCCACAGGTAAGTCACACTCACAAGAGTTCTAGCTATGCACACCAGCCCGCTCGCTCTGTTGCCCATCACATAACGCTGCCCCCACTGTCGATGCCTACCAACGCTGCTGCCACAGACTTCTTCTGGGATATGCCCTGGGGCAACGTACCATCCGAGCGACTGGCCAACATTACAGCCGATACCCCAAAATACAAAGGAGGTTTGCTTGGGGGCTCGTCAAAGCTGGCGGCACTCGCCGCTAAACGCAGAAAAGAACGAGAAGATGCGGAAGCCGCTGCCTCGAGAAACAACACCGAAGCGGATGCGGCGGTGGCTATGCTCGATAAGCTTTCTGTAAAGAACCAGGAGAAGGCCAACTCTTCTAGCGATGAAGCCGCCCAACGCCCAGCGCGCACTTCTAGGTATCCTGTTCGAAGACGATCGCCATCGCCAGTACCAGAAACACCAAAAGAGTCCGAGATTGAAGAGCCCCAGGTTCCCCAGCCAGCCATTGTTTTCGACTCTCCAGCTCAGCGTGCTACCGCCTCCATGTTCGCTTCGACTCTTTGCGGTCCTGAAGGGCCATCGAAGCAGTCGCAGTCTCAATCCGAAGAGCTTCCAGTACCATTCGCTGCCTACAAGTCTTTTGATGGCACAAAGGTATTCGCGGGACCGAGTCCGGACGACGTTGTGCGGGCAGCACAGGCAAAGAGCGCAGGCGGCGGGCGTCATTAGGCTGTCATATATCGTATAATTGAGTATTTCTAAGAAATCCAGGGACCACACCGAAGAAGAAAAAGAAGCAAACCAATGGCGATTTGGCCGAATCGGTTGAAAAGCTATCAGTCACCGATGAACCAAGAGTCAAGAGCAAAAACTTGAACGTTGTCGACGAGTTTGAGAAGAGCAACACAAAGAGGCTTGCCAATTTTGTAGTTCTGGGTAAGCTTGTCCTGATTTATTGGTTGGCGAACCTTGGCAAGCCACCAAGCTGACGGTCGCAGGACATGTCGACCACGGAAAAAGCACGCTCATGGGCCGCCTACTATACGATCTCAAAGTCATCGATCAGCGATCAATAGACAAGCTAAGGAAAGAAGCCGAGACCATTGGAAAGTCATCTTTTGCACTGGCCTGGGTCATGGACGAAACGAGTGAAGAAAGAAGCCGTGGTGTTACTGTTGATATTGCCACGAACTACTTTGAAACAGAAAAGACAAAATTTACCATACTAGACGCTCCTGGTCATAAGGATTTCATTCCAAACATGATATCAGGAGCATCTCAGGCCGACTTTCCTGTTTTAGTCATCGATGCCGGTACCAACAGCTTCGAGTCTGGTCTAAAGGGCCAAACCAAGGAACACATCATGATCGCCCGGAGCATGGGAATGCAACACATTATCGTAGCCGTCAACAAGATGGACACGGTTGGTTGGTCAAAGTCGCGGTTCGACGAGATTGCGAAACGCATGACGGCGTTCCTGACGGAAGCAAGTTTCTTGGAGAAACGAATCACCTTTATACCATTGGCCGGTCTGACAGGGGAGAACATTGTCAAGAAGGTTGACAACTCCGCCGCTCATTGGTACACTGGTGAGACTCTGCTGGAAGCGCTGGAGCGTATCGAACTGCCACGGCGCAACCTCGAGAAAGCACTTCGTTTGTCTGTGGCCGACGTCTTTAAGGGAGACATGCGTTCGCCACTCAGCATATCCGGCCGCATTGATGCCGGAACAGTGCAAGTCGGCGATGTAATCCTTGCACTCCCCGCCAACGAGACGGCCACGATCAAATCCATTGAAGTCCGAGACGCGCCCGTGGATTGGGCTGTGGCAGGACAAATTCCCACACTCCACCTCACCGACATTGATCCCGTGCACCTCCGCCAAGGCGACATTTGCTGTGCACCCAAGGACCCCGTCAAGTTGGTCAAAGCCTTCACATCGAAGCTCCTGGCTTTCGAGCACGTGCTGCCAATGCCAGTTGAAGTATTTCGCAGCACACTCAACTCGCCTGGTAGTATCAGGACGCTGAGTGCTCGACTGAACAAATTCACGGGCGAGGTGATAAAGAAGAAGCCGAGGATTGTCAAGCCGGGCGAGGTGGCGAGGATCGTGGTGCAGTTGGAGAGGGAGCTGCCGATTGAAGAGGGGATGCGGGTTGTGCTGAGGGAGCGGGGGAGGACAGTTGGCGCAGGATTGATGGAGAATGTAGCGTAGGGTTTTTGGCTCTAGATGCTCGCATCAAAATAAGAAATAGGTAAGTGTAATATGGGGGGGGGGGATATAGACCGGCCACGCGATGTGTGTGGCGTGTTGCACATGAAGCAAAAAACGGAGGTATAGTGAATGTATGCTTTTTTTTTCTTGTTCTATTCTCTCACATGATGATTGGAGTCTAGTGATGGTAATGCACGCGTCTCGTAACTTCATGACTGTTTTTGGCATCCAATTTCCCACGGCCTTATCGCTTGTTCGCCCAAGGTGCTCGAGTACTCTGCTGCGCATCACCGCCAGCATCCTTCTTCGCCCACGGCGCCGCCGTCCCGACTCCCGCCATCGTCGTCGACGGCGGCGGTGGAGCAGGTGTCCTGCTCGCCCACGGCGCCCTCGTAGGTTGATTCACTCCACTCGGGACTCCTGGTCCTGTTGCGCCTCTCGCCCAAGGTGCCGCCGTGCCGACCGCTCCACCTGGCGGTCTCGTGGCCATGGTAGCTGAAGACGAAGGGTCGGCGAGCGGATCACGCAACGGTGGCTGGGGACGTGCGGTGGGCGCCGTGTTGGAAGGCGTAGAGGATGCTTTTGGCTGCGAAGCTGTATGTACTGTTGCTTGGATTTTCTTTGCGTTGGGGTCCGGGGAGAAGGAGAAGAGGGAGCCAAAGGGGAAGTGTTGGACGACGGGGTATTTGGAGAGGACTTCTGCGTTGTACATTTTTATCATGCCCTATTTGATTCAAAATCATTCCCAGTCAGTCGATTGATATTGAAAATTCGGGGATTGTGTAGCTCATGATGAAGGTGTATTTTTCTTACCTTGTTGATCTTGGCCCAGCCGGCTTTCACACCAGAGACGTCGTAGAGGATGTTGCTGTGTTCCCAAAAGGGACCCTTTTTCACGTCGTAGATGAAGCCAATGGCACTGAAATACATGTTTCTGGTGCGTTCTCGCGCAACGGCTGGGGCCTTGGCCACGTCGCCGGGGTGGGGGGCCGTGGGTAAGGAGCCCTCTGCTGCTACATCGGCGGGCGTTGTGATGGCCGGGGAGAACTGTGCGCTGCCAAAGATGTATGGGAGAAATGAATGGTCGTCGAGACCCCACACGCCGTGTGAGCCTGCGGGTTCCAGGGTATATGTCAGGATGAGGCGGCGGATCAGCGCGAGATAGGGCTCCAAGACTCCGAGGACAATGGCGCGCTCTTGGTCGCCATCTTGCGATTCTGGGAACGCACCCAGTTTCCAGAGGCAGCCGAGGAAAGCGAGGAAGCTCAGCTCGTGGCCTGTGCCGTAGTCGAGGCGCTGCGAACTGCCAAAGCTACCGAGGAGATAGGCTTCAAGTTCGCTTTTTGCGCTGATGTCGGACGTGGATTTGAAGTCGAGAACTTGCTGGGGCAAGTGCTCGTATAGGAGTCCTGGGACACGCTCGCGAACAATGTCGTACCATGTTCTGAAGCTGATATTTCCGAAGCGGCGGGGCCCCGGGTCTGGTGGTGCTTCGTCGATGATGGCGGTTAGGGTGTCTAGAAGCTTGGCGAGGCTGTGCACAACGGACGGGTAGGCGACGTCTTTGTCGTTGAGTTGCCATTCCTTGGCTGGCGCTGCCTCTTCTCCCTGCTCTTTTGTCTCTACCGCCCGTGGGATCATGGCCGTGTTGAGCTGGAAGATGAAGGTCATGATGTCGGCGTAGGCCCTGCTGGCCAAGAACGCAGTGACGTCGTCGCCATCGTGTATTCTCTTCACGGGAAGTGCAAATCCATGGCCTGCAGTCTTGTCGAGCGTGTCCAAGATGGGGGCCTGGGACGGGTTGGGGTCCATGGCGGGTGTATATGTGAAGGGGTGGGAGGGTGCGGGCGCTCGCCATGTGACAGCGTGTTTTGGGGTTGAGGGGCCCGCCTGTCGCCCGCCTGCCTCTTGCACTCCACACATGTACAATGACAGAAGACGCCACCAGTTCGTCGTCACCGCTGGCTGTCGCTTCCACCGCGGCATAACGCGTGTCCTGGGCACTTCTTCATGGCGCGTCTGAATACGGCACCGACGGCGAGTGGTAAGTGTGACGCTGCTCCCGAGGCGGGACGCGTTGGATCCATATCCATCTATTCACGGGCTCTTGCGTGGCATACAAAGCCCAGCACCGGTACAACATGAGCTGATACTCAACACCACAGCCCCTCGTGTCTCACCGTCGCCCGACTCCTCGCACGCAGCATCAGACGCTGAGGCAGCCCGCCAACTCATCACAGAAGCGCACTTCGCCGATACACATCCGCCCTCTCCCGCCCTACTCCTTGGCGCGAATCTGCTTAATGCAGCGCGCGCCCACGCGAGTCAAAACCAAGGCAGCTCGATGCGCGGCACGATGCGCAAGAATGGTGCAGGCAAGCTCAAGCGAGTAAGCGTCGTGCCCGAGGGTCCCAAGCAGAATCTCGCCAGGCGGGGCGATTTGTACGAGATCGAGCTGAGCCCGGAGAAGGGCCACTACGCGCTCCCAGAGAAGGTGAACCAAAAGCCATTGAAGATCCGCAGGAAGAAGCCGGTAGCCGAGGAGCGTAGTGTTGCCCCGGGACTGTCGTCTGATCTTCCTACACACCATGTGCAAAGGTCGCACTTGGGGCAAGGCGATGTGGCGGAACATGTTCCCTCGACTGACCCAGGCATACGTTCATCTCCGCCTCAGATTGCGCCGGCGCAGAGTGACATCATCGACGTTACTGGGACTGGAAACGAGACATCTCCAGTCGAAGCAGAAGCACGCCCCACCGCACCTGAACATGTACAAATCGAAGAGACCCTTGACAACGGGAAGCCCAGGTGTACCGTTGTCTACTACAAGTACGACAAGAAGGCGGGCCCACACCACCAGCAATGTCGGCGCCCAGCTACAGATCGTACGGATGATGGCCCTACATGCAGTATTCACATCAGCAGGATCCCTGCTGTACAGTGTGGGGAGATGGTAGTTTCCGAGGGTGTTAGTTCACAGTGCTACAGAACAGCTACTTCGCACAATGCTAATGGTGCGCGATGTGCGGTGCATGAGAACCAACAGGCAACGCCACGTGGGAAACGAAAAACAGCCTCACATCATGTCGACGATGAGCCTGCGTCGTCAGCGAGGGATGATGCTCATCCGCCAAACTCGCAAGAGCGGCGCCGCACTCGCACCTCGGCTCCCGTGCAGCCTCTAGCTAAGACGTTGACGAAACGGCGAAAGACTGCTGGCGATACCCCTGCTAACAACACTCCTGTTGACGATACTCCTGTTGACGATACTCCTGTTGAGCCCATCCAGCAGCTCCCCGCAAGGACGCGCAAGAGCGTAGACCGACCAAAAAACGTGCAAGAGTTGGTAGAAGCACCTGCTGAATCATCTGAAGATGAGCAATCAGAGTATGAGCCGGATGCTGACGAAGGCGCGCATTCTACCGCTCAGGATGAGGAGGCCCGGCCCACGGCTGACTTTCCTGAGGGCCTTGATACCGTCTTTAAATTTCTTGACCTCAAAGAGCGCCCGGAAACATGCCAGACCAAGACTGGCACTGCAATCAAACGTCTATGCAATACGTCTTGTGTGCACTTTGGTGATAAGACAATCTCCATGGACACTGTCGTTGAAGATGCAACTGATATACAAGTGACGCTTAAGCTCGTCACTTCCAAGATTCGGAAGAAGCATCAGCTTGCGTTCAAGAGTGATGCATATGGCCACCTCTTTCGCTCGCTTACCCTATATCTTCGAGCGTTGTATGTCTGGTTACTCGACACTCACGGTGCTGTGACAGAGTCTCTGGAAGCCATGCGCGTAGTGGCGCCATTCATGTGTGAAATGCTAGCTTTCAAGGACACAATTGCCCAGTGGAATGTCGCGGTACCGCAGCAGCGCAAAGGAGACCGAATCATCAAAGATGTCGATAGCCTACTGATCGCCCCTCTGCGACAAGTGAGCAAGTCGTTCAACGTTCGCCTGAGTAAACTTGAGGAGGTGCTGCAACGTCACAAGGAGCAAGCTGCACTGGAGCGCAAAATGAAAGAAGCCTGGGACACAGAGAATGCAAGGATTGAAGCTGCCAAGGCAATAGAAGCACGAAAGAAGCGTTGGCAAAACCTTCATATCGTGCGCATGCAATGCGAGCCTGATGTGTACAAGAGACGCAATCTCTTCCACACCAGCTTTGAAGACGTGGTAGAAAGGGACGCGAATGGCGTCGTGTTCGAACGCCTGCCGGTCTTCAGGCCCCGCTCGACTCCGCCACACAGTCAAATGTCCGAGTCCGCTGACGAGGTTGAATGGAGTGAAGCGGAAGAGACTGCTCTCCTCGAAGGCTTGCAGGAATTTGCCGGTAAGCCAGGGAACTTCCGCGTTACGATGTCACAGTCGGTTGCTAACAGGCAGTTTAGGCCCAAATGTCTTTGAGAAGATATTCAAAACATGTTGTGACCCTAGGTCTCCGCATGCACGTAGTGGCGATCTACGCAATCGCAGTGTTGCGGAGATTGTGTCAAAGGCAAGGTGGGTTCGGTCAACAATGACGGCTTTACGACAAAACAGTGGTGAGCCTGTGGATGATTGGGTGACGAAGATCCCATTGCTGCCGTAGGTATGATTGAAACCTCGGCTGCTCTCTTGTTTGTATGGAAATTCTTGAGATGCCACTACTGCTGCCTACTGTCTTTCTGAAGTGTCAGGTTCTTTCTAGGCGCGCGATACCCCCTGTGTATGTCATCTTGCATTGGCTATTGCGCTGCGATGCTTTTGAAAGGATTGTCACCTATGAGGCAGCTCGAGAGACAGCCTATTTCATCAAACACAAGTCCTAATGTATGTCTCTCTGTCGATGCACGATTTCAAGTCGTCTGCTACTTGCATTCGCAGTACATGTTGTGAGGCTGCATCCCTATTTGCAAAATGAAGCGTGTGAAGCGCACAATATAGACTGATTTCAGTCGTCGCTGTGGAAACTGAAGTGAAACTAGGAAAAGGCTGTTCACGCCCACAATGCCCCCTTTCACACCGATCACGTGTAATCACACGGACTCACCTTCACAGTGACCATGTACGACCATCAAACTCACCTTTGTAGTATAAACACGCGTCGAGTTTGTTCCTGAGAACAGACTCATCACTTTCTACATTGAACACAACGCAGATTCATCGACTTTTCTGCCTCCAACACATCTGCACAATCACAATCACAATCACCCATCATCACAATGGATTCCGCGTCTACGCATATCAACATGGGGACGCAACACGGCTATATCGACTCAGCTGACGACATGTCCATCACGGAAGCTGTGCTTGCAGACATGGATTTTGGAGATGTCGATGAGCCTGTGCCATTGGTCAAGAACGACGGGCTCAAAGCTATTCCCATGGAGCAGCTGGCGGCCGAGTGGGATGCGATGTGGACTGCACAGGATGCTGCTGCCGAGGACACGACTGCGGTTCCACGAGGTGAGCTGGAGTGTGGTGGTGACGGTGGCTCTACAATCGTGGCTACAGAGACTGGATCTGGTGGCCAGGTGTCTGTGGACAAGCCATCTGTGAACGAGCCCTCTGTGGACCATGAGCAGGCACTGAAGCCAGAGAGCAAGACATCGCCGAATACGCAGGAAGAAAACGAGGCTGCTGAAAAGGACGTGGCCAAGGTGACTCCAGACGCGGTTGTGCATGTCGAAGACGCGACTGAGCATTCCGACCTCCCTGGTATAACCGTTGACACCGCATCCAACGACGTCATCGACGAGCCGTCACCTGCCGTCGATCCCGTACAGGGGCCCCAGAAGGCGGAGCCGACTGAAACCAAAATCGCTACGCAGAGCTCAGATGATGTCACCGGATCCCACGATGCTGCCCCAGTTGCTACCACGATGCATGCAGCTGCAGCGCCCGAGAAGGCGGCAGACAGCGCATCGCCAGTCATCAGGCCATCGAGTCCCGGCACGCTGTTCTGCACCCCACGCGCTCCCAAGCACGCGGGCAAACAGCACCTCGGCGTGGGGAAAAACACAATCCAGGTCTCCAACTTGTACCAGGGACTCGAGTCGCTGGATGCCTCGCAAGAAGGAATGGAGTCCGGGAACGAGGATGGCGGTGATGGCGAGGAAGACGAGAACCCTGCGCCCGCCGATGAAGCGCCTGTAGACGAATGGCCGATCAAGGATCAGGGCCCCGGACCCGCGGCGGCGGCAAGCAAGAAGGCGAAGCGCGGGAAGCGCGGAAAGAGGGCGGGCAAGAAGGTACAGTTGAAGAGGGCAAAGGCACTGGCAGTGGTGGAAGAAGAGGAGATGGAGATGGAGGCGGAGGCAAAGGCCAAGGCCGTAGGTATCGTTGAGACGTCGACACTACTGGATGTTGACGAGCCCCATGTCGCTCCCGCTGGCCTGCTCGTGCTTGCGCTGAGTGTGGTTGCTGCGTTTGTCGGCGCGTGGATCGAGGGCTACTAGATATGTGTATGTATGTGGATTGGATGGGATGAGATTTGCTGATCCATGACTGGCGTCCATCGGTAGTTGTGCTTCTTCCGTGGATTTTGTCTTCCCCTGGTCTGCCTGCCTCGGCGTGGGCCGTACGCAGGTAATATGTAGCATATCAATCAGATAAGCTTGCGAGAAAACCACTTTTTATTTATATTATGTGATGTGTTGCCCCAGCCGCTTTGCCTTGCCGCGCCAACTCACCGCTTGCAAAAAGTCTCCGATGGTCCCCTCCCCCTCCAAGCCGGAAGCCAAGGTGGAGTCTGGCCGGCTCACGATTCGGGACGGGAAAGCTTGGTGGTTACTCTTTTTCCTTTTCTTCTTTTGCCCAAGTCAAATATCCAAAGGGGAAAGTTGTTTTTTCACCATGGCTTGATTTTATTTTTTTGGTTGATTACTGTTTGAGGATGTCATGGGAAAAAGAGAGGAGACTAGGGAAAAACTCAACCAGGCGTCTCCACATGGCCGGCTCGAGGCGTCTGGGAAACGGTTTTATGTACAGTGTGCCCGTTGTAGGTGTAAGCTAGGTGAGCTAGCCAGCCGTGTGAGGCAGTGCAAAGCAGGATGCGCCAATTTCGCCCAACGGGCTGCTGTTTGTGTCAAACTGGCTCCGGCGACGATGACTCGACGGACGCTTTGCCCAGCATTCTGTTTTCTGTGCCAAGTTGCAAAGAGAGGAGCGAGTCAGTCGTGGGAGAGTGGGCAGGGCTAGGAGACGGGAGAGTGCGAGGTGGGTGCTGCAGGAGGGACTTGGCATAAAGGGCTAAATTGACAACATCAAGGCACAGTATGCGGCGGGAGATTGGTACAGGCCATCACATCAGCGGAGCTGTGTCTGCTGATCTCGTCTGCTCCTTTATGTAAAAACTGCCTGGCTGGAGAGGGAGGGATGTCGCGGTTATGGTGAATATGCGGGTGGCGGCGCTTGGCCCTATTGCGGCAAAATGGCTAAGTACTTAGGTAAGTCGGTAAGTAAGTAGGCAAGTCTGTATGTAGTTGAGCAGACACCCACGGCTGAGACAGACAGGGCCTGGTAATGCTGCCGCATACCACGACGGCAGTGTCCATGTACGGTAGCATGTATGCACGCTGCCGCACGACCAAAGGGTACTCCCGCGCCCTTGGCCATGGGCTTCGCGCGACCGTGGCAGCGGTTACAGCCATCCCCCCCCCCGCCATCTTCACCCACGACGCAGGTGGGAACACATGCACGCCCAGTCTTCGACTCGCATCAACTGCGCAAGCGACAGTCGGCAGCCTCTGGCCTTGGCTCTCATCGCCGTCCGGCCACCACGGTTGGGCCTGCGACGGGGTGCTGCTAGCCCGCATCCAGAAAGCCTCCTACTTACCTGGTCCTCGTTAAGTATGTACCAACGACACCACCCCCCATCAGCTTACATGCGCGAATTAATTCGCGCTCGCCGCCGCCTTTGTCGTGCTTGGCACCGGCTTTCACGTGTACAGATGGCAGGCAAGGCGGCGGCTGCTAGCATGGGCAAGGAAATAGGCCCGCCGGCTGGCTCGTGGCGGAACCCGTGTGCTGTTCGCTGATGATGAAATAAATCCCCCATACAAACCATTCTGTCATTTCGTGGCCATCCGGGCTACCTCTTTCAGCTTTGCTCGTTCTGGGTGGCGGCTTGCTCTGCGCTCCCTACAAAGGCCCTCTTCACTTGTTTTTTCTTGGACGGGGCGGCCACCTCCCCTCTTACACCCAGTCTTGTCGTGTCTGGCTGTTTCTGCCTCTGAACCGTCTGGCGCGCCGGCTGTCGTGGTCTCATAGCATCTATCCAGTTAGCCTGCCTCTAACAGACGCTGCTCTCGGTGCTGACCTCTGCCGCCGCCCTGGGCCGAAATGCCCTCAACTGCTACGCTGTAAACGCATCTCCCGCGACGCCAGCAGGCGCAGCGAATCAATCACCATGTGGAAGCCTCCGATCAATTTCATCACGCTGCACTGTACGTTCGCCTGCTCCCTCCCGTGGTGCCCTCTAACCCAGTTGGCTGCTATCCCGCTCTATCCGCCTCTGCTAACGGCCGTCTAGGGGCCTACATTCTGACCGTCGGTATCCTGGCCTTCCCCGTAATCTACCCCTATGGCAATCTATCGGCTATAGACACGTATTACTTTGGAGTCAGCGCTTCCACTTCGTCGGGCTTGAACCCGTAAGTCACGTCTGTGGGCGTACCACAGCCGACTGAGTGAGTGTGCGATGCTGATAACGGGCTAGCATTGATGTCAAGGCCCTCAAGACGTATCAGCAAGTCTGGTTCTACTTCACCCCTATCGTGACCAATTTGGGCTTCATAAACATCATCGTCGTCATTGTGAGGTTACGCTGGTTCCGCCAGAAACTCAAAGACATCCGTATGCTGAACCCTATCCACGTTTGCCTACCGGGTGGGGGATTAACATGTGCATACAGCTGCTGCTCATATTCGACCAAGGAGCTCGCTCGGAAAGTCTACCGACCCGCGAATCCAGGTTCTAGCCAACGTTGCCGACACAAGGGCCCTTGAGAGTGGCCTGGCTAGCGAGGCGACTGTCGCGGAAAAGAAGATTGAAGCCGGAGCCGAACAGAGTGACGCCTCAGCCGCCCCTCGAATCACTTTTGCCCCTGACCCTCGCCACGTGGTCAACGAAAAGGGTGCACTCCGGATTGCTGGGCCCCGCGATGGCGACAATGGTACGTAGTCCCGGAAACGCCATGGAGACTGCGTCACTAACGCAACATAGACCACAACAACAACTTCGAGTTTTCTAGAAACCGCTAGGAAAGCACGCTATCTAGGAGAACCGACCACGAGGAATCGACTAACAGCACTTTCAACACCTGCAGCTAAGGCGCTAGCGCGCAGTAGGGAGAAGGAGGCCTTCCTTCGTTATCTCACGCCTGTGAGAATTTTCTCACAGAGCTTGGGCTCTAATGCCAAGACTAGAGGGGCCAATAGGAACGCAGGAGCTTATTGAAGCTCAAATTTAGCAAGAAACACAGACATATCAAAATAATAAAAATAACAAAAAAAGACTAGCCTCAAAGGACCTTAGAGGCACAAGCAAACGACTAATGGATAATAATCCAGAAATTGAGATGGCTGAGGAGGCCTCTACGCCTTGCCCTAACAGGCAACCAGAAGAACCGCCTAGGCCTACCCATACTAGGACAAGGAGTAATTTTTCTCCATTTATTGGAGCAGTGCCAAGATACCCTACAGTAGGGAAAACTCCAAAGGCAACCTCTATTGAGGAGGCCTTAGAGATTGCTAGAAACCTAGTAATCCAAGCAGCTAACCTAGCTAAAAACAACCCTACTAGGCAAACTAGTTTACTAGACCTTGTAGAAGTCTTTAGAGACTTTATAGAGAATGGCAGAGTAAACAAGAAAAACTCTACAATTCTAGAAGACTAAATCTCCTCTCTATCTAACGTCTCTAAAGAACTAAGAGAGAAAGTTAGACGCCTTGAAAAACCAAATACCCCGCC